TGAGTATACCAGACAGAAGAGGGGTTTTGAAGCAGGCTACACCTGGAGGAAAGCAGAGAAAGCAGAGAAAGCAGCGGTCTGGGGGACCCTGGAGTTGGGCATATCCAGATTCCAAAAGAGGAAATAAGGCCCTAGGCCAGGCAAGACTCTCACTGATAAAGGAGAGCTAGATCAGGCAAATGAGTCAGACAACAGCAGCTTAGAGGTAAGGTGGGCAGGAGAACAATGCCCCATTTGTAAATCTCAGGTACTCAGTCATGAATCATGGGATTGGATGCCCTGATGGTCAGTTTCCTGTTCTTGTCCCCACACCACCACAAGACCCAGCACAGGAGGACTCTAATGAGGCCATTCCGGTGGCCCAATCCCAGTGGATGGAGCAAGGAATCTAGGTTATTTTGTTGGTATGGAAGCAGGTAGAAATGAACTTTGGGAGGCTGGGTGCAGTGGCTTATGCCTGCAATCCCAGCACTTTGGGAGGCTAAGGTGTGCAGGTCACGAGGTCAGAAGTTCAAGACCAGCCTGGCCAGCATAGTGAAACCCCATCTCTACCTAAAATACAAGAAATTAGCCGGACGGCTAGCAGGCGCCTGTAATCCCAGCTACTTGGGAGGCTGAGACAGGAGAATCACTTGAACCCGGAAAGTGGAGGTTGCAGTGAGCTGAGATTGTGCCATTGCACTCCAGCCTGGGGGACGGTGCAAAACTCCAACTCAAAAAGAGAAAGAAATGAATTTACAGGCATGGTGGTTCACGCTTGTAATCCAAGTCCTTTGAGAGGCTGAGGCAGGAGGATTAACTTGAGCCCAGGAGCTGGAGACCAGCCAGGACAAAATAGACCTAATCTCTACAAAAAGTTAAAACTAAAATTACCCGAGCATGGTGGTGTATGCCTGCAGTCTCAGCTACTCAGGAGGCTGAGGTGGAAGGATCCCTTGAGCCCTTTTGAGGTTGCAGTGATCATGATCATGCCACTGCACTCCAGCCTGGACAACAGATTGAGAACCTGTTTCAAAAAGAAAAAGAGAAAGAAATGAACTTTGGCCATGGAGAAATGCAAGTGGGCAATCAGAGCTCTGTGAGACCAAGAATAAATAGATTCTTCAGACACATAAGGGAAAGAGGTGAAAGCAGTTGAGGCTTGAAAAGGATGTCTGAGCCGGGCACGGTGGCTCAAGCCTGTAATCCCAGCACTTTGAGAGGCCGAAGTGGGTGGATCATGAGGTCAAAAGATAGAGACCAGGATGGTGAAACCCCGTCTCTACTAAAAATACAAAAAATTAGCTGGGCATGGTGGTGCACGCCTGTAGCCCCAGCTACTCAGGAGGCAAGGCAGGAGAATTGCCTGAACCCAGGAGGCGGAGGTTGTGGTGAGCCGAGATTGCTCCATTGCACTCCAGCCTGGGTAACAAGAGCGAAACTCTGTTTCAAAAAAAAAAGAAAGAAAAGAAAAGAAAAGGATGTCTGGCTCATACCCCACCTAATTTCTCCTCACAGAAACTCAAGTCAGTGTATCTGAAGACAGTCTAGGAAAAAGAGACAACTGGTGAAAAACTGAAGTAATTGGGTTGTTATTATTATTGGAGAATGGATCTGTTTGAAGGCCTCAAATCCATAATATGAAGTCCTAGGAGATGCCAGCTTAAGATGTAGTAGTATTAATCCAGTGCAGATGTGAGCAGATGCTCTGGTAAGCTCTTTGTCCTGGGTAGGGAAGGACTGGCTTTCCCCTTCCTGACAGTCTTCCTACTTCCCCCACCCATCGTTTCTCTGGTCCCTTGCTGACCCAGTGCAGTCAGAGGCCCTCCAGACCCCTGGCCTAATTCCCTCAGTGCTTTCCTTGGGTCATCACACATCCTTTTCCTGATGACACTCCATGAGAAGGGCAGCCTAGCAGGGCAGGCAGAGCACCAACTATGGAGGCTGTCAAGAGCCCTGGAGTCCACTCTTTGCTCCTCTGTGATCTCAGGTGATGATAGGGTCAGGATACGTTCCTCCTCCAGGCAGTAGGGAATGCTGCAAGATTGAGTGGTTTAGAGCTCTATTCCTACCCAGAGGTCTTTAACCTCTTCTAGAGCCTTTGATCTGGTCCTTGCTTTTATTTTCCTCCAACCTGAACATCTTTATCCAGGTCCAGGGTCACTGTCTTTTGTCATCAATGAAGATTATGAGTAGTTTGTGATGTGGGGCTAGAAACATTTGTTTTTCTCTGAACCCTGTTTTTCCTTTCCTTTCTCTGTCTTCTAAAATAAACAGCCCTCCTTTGACATTCCCTCTTGAAACTTTGACCTCCAATGTAGACCATAATGGTTAGTTTTTTCTTTGAGTACCCCCTGAAGAACCAGGATTCTGCCCTCCCAAATCAGCAGGAGCCAGGCTTTCTGCTTTATCATTCTAAGGAAGACTTTTGCAAATCAAAAGTTAGGTCTCTTCATTCTGGAGAAAGGCTGAGAAATATGACTCTCTTGCTTGGTGAAGAGGGAGGAGAGCACACTTTTCATTGCATATGAATGGTAGTCAAACTGTCATGATGGTGAATGTTGCCAGAGATCCCTGGGCTCCTACAGTGTAAGTGGTGTAAAATAAAGAGTATGGATTTATGAGGTGGTAGCCTGAATTCAAATCCACCTTCCTGTGTTTAATTTTAGGTTGGGGTGCTTAACCTTTCTCTGAGGCAGTTTCCTTAGTAGTCGGAAAGGAATAATTGTAACTCTTTAATTGGATTGGTCTGAGGATTGAAGGAGATGATACCTATTAAGCACCTGACATTTTAGTAGGTGATCAGTTACGTCCTTTCCTTTCTAGTTTCTCTAACCACTTACTCACCTGCCAGCAAGCCTGAGTAGATTGGCAGCAAACCAAAGGAGACCCTGGGAACAGGACTAAGGGTTTTCTTCTCTTCTCTTCTCTTTTCTTTTTTAAATAAAGACAGGGTTTCAACATGTTGGTCAGGCTGTTCTTGAACTCCCGACCTCAGGTGATCCGCCCGCCTTGGCCTCCAAAGTGCTTGGATTACAGGCGTGAGCCACCACGCCTAGCCAGGACTAAGGGTTTTCTTAGGAGCTCCTAATTCTGCCCACATCAGAGGGCAGATGGGAAGAAGGAAGAAAAGAAAAAGACAAAAGAGATAAAGCTTTGTAGGGGTCTGGCAAGCATAAGCATATTTATGTTCTTTCTTTCCTTCCTTCCTTCTCTTTTTCTTTGTTTTTTTTAAACTTTTTTTATTTTGGGGGGGCAGGGTCTCACTCTTTCACCCAGGCTGGAGTGCAGTGGCATGATCGGCTCACTGCAGCCTCAACCTCCCAGGCTCAGTGGATCCTCCTACCTCAGCCTCTGGAGTAGCTGTGACTACAGGTGCATGCCACCACGCCTGCCTTTTTGGTATTTTTTGTAGAGAAGGGGTTTTGCCATGTTGCCCAGGCTGGTCTCTAACTCCTGTACCCAAGTGATCTGCCTGCCTCAGCCTCCCAAAGTGTTGGGATTACAGGTGTGAGCCACCATGCTTGGCTTCTTTTTCTTTCTTTTCCCTCTCTCTGTCTCTTTTTTGTTGTTGTTGTTGTTGTTGAGATGAGGTCTCACTATGTTACTCAGGCTGGTCTCAAACTTCCTGGCCTTCTTCTTCTTTTTTTTTTTTTTAATAAGATGGGGTTTCACCATGATGGCCAGGCTGGTCTTGAACTCCTGACCTCAGGTGACCCACCCACCTCGGCCTCCCAAAGTACTAGGATTACAGGCGTGAGCCACCGTGCCCAGCCACTTCCTGGCCTTCTTAAGTGATTTTCCCGCCTTGGCCTCCCGAAGGCATATTTTCCTTTGAATCTAGACTGAGCAACTACAGAATTCCATTGTCCAGGTGAAGTGATGCTGTGCTTGAATTTACTGAGCTAGGGGAATAGGCTCATGAACAGGTTTCCCTCACTGAGTTGATCACTTTTTCAGCAGATTTGCAAGATCCATCATCAGATGGTGGCCAATCTGCCTGTCTTGGGCCCTGAATCTATGGAACCTGGGGGTTTTACTGTTCTGTCACCTTAATGATAGCCAGCTCATTAAGAATGAACCAAAAGGGAAGGAGTGTAGGGTTGTAACTAATGAATCTGAATGAGGCTGTGTTGCCTTGGAATGAATCCTTGACAGGAAGGTGATGGATGTAAAAAAATCCAAATTCCTCTAGTTTCTGGCTCAGGGTCCATGTGGGAAGATTGGTTGGTGTGATTGATTGCTCTGAAGATAAGATGGATGAGGGTGGGAGAGGCTTGGAAGGAGACAAGACCAGGAGACCGAGTTTTTTGGGGAAGCAGACAAACTTCAGGGGATTCCTGTTGCCTTGCTATTTCTTGGTGAAAACCTCTGATATAATCCTACAGTAAACACAAAGGTTGTTCTCCTGGAATGAACTTTTGAACAGGGCAGCAAGGATGGTTTTGCTTCTGAAAATCCCTCCTAAGATTATTGGGATACATCAGTAAGGTCCTGGGGAAAAAGTCAAAGCATCAGGTGCCTGGGTTATTTGGATGGAGAGTCAGTTAGGAATGCAGGGAGGAAATCTAGTGTGTTCATTTCTCTAGCACAGTGTCACAACTCAGGCTTCAGGATGGGTGCTTTGACATCTGTATTTATGGATGGTTTCACCTCCGTGCTAGATAATTTTATTTTTGCTTTTTCTGAACCCCAGGGAAATAATCTTCTTTTGGTTGCCTATTTCCATCCCCCCTTCCACGACCACCAAGCAGGCACACCACACACATTTTCTTTCTCTGTCTCTACTGGAGCCTGTTTTTAAACTTTCTATTGAAGGATGGACAGAGGAAATCTGTCATTTCCTTGACATATGCTTCACTTTTATGTATTTGTCCTTATATCTATTCTCTGACATCTGTGGTAGTTTTAAATGTTTCTCTTGAGATGCCAACTTCCTTAATGAACATTTCACCTTCCTTTTCACTAAAAAACAAAGTTGGTTATTCCTTTTTGGCATTAGAACAAATAACACATTCTTTCTGATGACAAAAAATGTTTATTGTTAGGCAAATGTAAAAATATAGAAAAACGCAAAAGGAAAACAAACCATTCTATTTTGGTATCACATAATGGCAAATGTTTGCACATTTTTAACAACAAAATTGGATTCATTCTGAACATACCATTTTGTAATCGGCATTGTTCCCTTCTATCATGCATGTTTTCCATGTTGCTAAGTATTTCTCAAGAATATTTTAGTGGTTAATAGTCTACTTTAAGTTCATGATTTACTTGTTCATCATACTTTGAACACTGAAATTGTTTTCTAATTTAAAACAATAAGCTAGGGGTGTTTTCCCGTTCTTGGTGATTATTTTTACTTTTTACTCAACATATTCAAAATATCTCCTCCCAGCATGGTGTAAGGTCTGTGCAGACAGCAGAGATTCCGAAGGATGAGATACTCAGATTTAGGAAACCAGTGGGTAAGCTCCCGGGGCTCTCTTTATGGGAAACTACCCCTCCTCCAAAGATTGCCACTGGAAGATGCAGAAGTGCAAATGCAGGTAGGTAGAATCCACAATTCCCCTTGTCTCTTCCCCTTGGTGTACAGACACCCCAGGATGCCCAAGTTAAGAGATCAAACACACTTTGAATATGGCTCAAGTTCAAAGGGCTTCCTTACTCCCCATTAAAATAACATTTTCTATCTCTGGGAGTCTGTATTGTTTTCCTGTTGACCAGTGTCTGGGTCTCCATTTTTTATTATCTGCCAAATCAAGGGAGTTGGATATTTCTAGCTTCCCCTTTATCCTGGCTGATTATTGGGAGAGAGAAGCAGGGTTTCTTATCCCCTTTCTAATCTTAAGGTTTCCAAAGGGAGCAATAGAAGTCCCAGCTGGATATGTCCTAGAAGCATTTATTGTGAAATAAAGCTGAGTTCTCAATCTGGGAAAATAACCAAGCAGTCCCTAGCTCTCTAGGGAACATCACTCTTATGGGACTTTGTCTGGGTAAGTCATAGTCTCCTGTCCGCTTACTGCCACGAGTCCCTTTCCATGGCTCCAGAGATGGTTTATGAGCTGCAAAAACCCTCAGGTTATACTGGGTGCTGGTTTCCCCAGGCTTAAGCAGGAAGAAATTATTTTCTTTTACCTTTCTTTTTTTTCTTTTTTCTTTCTTTTTTTTTTTGAGACAGGGTCTCAGTTCTGTTGCCCAGGCTGAAGTGTAATGATGCAATCACACCTCACTGTAGTCTCCTGGGCTCAAGTGATCCTCCCATCTCAGCCTCCCAAGTATTTAGGACTATAGGCAAATGCCACCATGCCAGGACAATTTTTTTTTAATTTTTTATTTTTGAGACGGAGTTTCGCTGTTGTTACCCAGACTGGAGTGCAATGGTGCGATCTCGGCTCACTGCAACCTCTACCTTCTGGGTTCAAGCAATTCTCCTGCCTCAGCCTCCCGAGTACCTGGGACTATAGGCTTGCGCCACCATGCCCAGCTAATTTTTGTATTTTTAGTAGAGACGGCATTTCACGTTGTTGACCAGGATGGTCTCGATCTCTTGACCTCATGATCCACCTGCCTTGGCCTCCCAAAGCGCTGGGATTATAGGCGTGAGCCACCGTGCCCGGACTGACAATTTCTAAATTTTGTGTAGAGATGATGTCTTCCTATGTTGTTCAGGTTGGAGGAAGAACTTTTCAAAATTTCATATGTGGGGTGAAAAATCTAACACTCTAAAAACTTCCCAGTAGGCAGATATGTGGTCTTTACCTAATTTATCAGCATGGATTTGTTTGTAGCTGGTCTGGAGCTAGCCACAGGCTACCCCTTCAGGAGTCTGAACAGAACTCTCATTTTTTGCTTTTATTCTCCTGATTCCCAGCAGCACACTGGGTTGGACATGGTCTGAAATTTAAAGGAACAAATACTTCGAGGGTCCCTCTAGATAGGGACCCCAAACCAAACTTTCCCTGTGGCAAGCTGCGTAAGTACAGGTGCAAAGACGGGAAAGTAGCTTGCAGGAAAGATGAAATGGGGGTCTGCCAAAGTCAGGAGGCCCAGGTTCCCATTTCAGCCCTGCCAGGAATATGCTGTGGAATCCTGGGCCTACATTTCACCACCAATAGCAGATACCATGAGGACTACAGACCAACACTGTGATTTTCCAGTTGCTTTCCAATCTGTTCTGTCTGAGAGAGAAGCTATGTCCCCTTCCACTGACACAACCAAGTGAACGTGTGTGGGGTATTATCAGGCACTGCCCTTACCCAGGGACTGGGCACTGCCTGAGGAGCGTGAGCAGTAATACTTCTTCACCATATCCCTACACTGGTCACACTTGACCGTACAGCACCACTGGAATTTGCAGTTACAGCTGCTTATGACCTCAGTTCTCCTCTCTTCCACCTGCAGTCCACACTCAGTGCACAGGCTCCCACAGCTACATCGCTCCCACCTGGATGTGTTGTGGCTGTTCTGTAGGCACTCACGACCCTCTGTGCCATAGATGCCTAGGCTGGAATTATGGGTACAGTAATCTGGTGATTCCTCTAAAAAGATCAGTTCCGTCTCTGCACTAGGAAGGAAGGCCTCAGAGGGTGCCCAGTGGCTCTCGGCACTGTTCCCAGCTCTCAGTTGCCGCTTATCCATTTCAATTTTCAGTGCCCGGTCATACTTGGCCTTCAGGTAGTCTCCCATCTCCCGGAAGTCAGCTAGCTGCAGCCAGCATGTCTGTACGCTGCAGCTCCCGGAGATGCCATGGCATTTGCAGGTCCTTTTCAAGGCGGCTCTCACTGCCTTCACAGAGAGAACATAAAAAAGACAATGGCTCTGAGCAGGGAAGACCAAAGGTCAGTGATTAAAAAGAATATGTTAGAGCTGTGTTTCTTAACTTTAAAGGAACATAGAATTATTGGGGAAGCTCATGAAAAATATTTATTCCTGGGCCCTACCTCAGATCTTCTCAATGAGGATATTCAAGGGGTTAAGGACCTGGGACTGGTTATGTTAAAGCTTCCATGGGTGATTCTGATGGAGAGCCAGGCAAGAGCTGAGAAGGTTACTAGAGCCCAGAAGCCTCTGCTCACTTGTAGAGCTTTTCTCTATCTGCCCAGCTGGAGCACTTTGGGAGGCTGAGGAGGGCGGATCACGAGGTCAGGAGTTCAAGACCATCCTGGCCAACATAGCGAAACCCAGTCTCTACTAAAAATACAAAATATTAGCTGGGCATGGTGGTGCATGCCTGTAATCCCAGCTACTCAGGAGGCTGAGGCAGGAGAATTGCCTGAACCCAGGAAGTGGAGGTTGCGGTGAGCCGAGATTGCGCTGTTGCACTCCAGCCTGGGTAACAAGAGCGAAACTCCGTCTCAAAAAAAAAAAAAAATTAGCTGGGTGTGGTGCGTGGGTGGGGCACCTGTAATCATAGCTACTTGGGAGGTTAAGGCAGGAGAATCACTTGAACCCGGGAGGCAGAGGTTGCTGTGAGCCAAGATCTCACCATTGCAGTCTAGCCCAGGCGACAGTACAAGACTCTGTCTCAAAAAAAAAAAAAATTGAATATAATAATGATCAAGGAAATACTCTGTAAATTACAAAGGAAACTATGATAATTGCCACAGTTATTGTCTTGAGGCTGAGGGTGAGAATATTTCCAGGACAAATATTGGATTTGTCTTCTGGGTTCTTTCTGAGAGGGGAGGAAGCTTCGTTTGAACAATTATACCCCTAAGGCAATGAATTTCCCATGGTTGTACTTGCTTAAAAAACCTCTTCCTGGCCGGGCACAGTGGCTAACACCTGTAATTCAGCACTTTGGGAAGCCGAGGCAGGTGGATTGCCTGAGCTCAGGAGTTTGAAACCAGCCTGAGCAACACGATGAAATCCCATCTCTACCAAAATACAAAAAATTAGCCGGGCATGGTGGCATGTGCCTGTAGTCCCAGCTACTCAGGAGGCTGAGGCAAGAGAATTGCTTGAACCCAGGAGGCAGAGGTTGCAGTGAGCCAAGATCATGTCATAGCACTCCAGCCTGGATGACAGAGTGAGACTCTATCTCAAAAAAAAAAACCTCTTCCTGGCTGGATGCAGTGGCTCATGCTTGTAATCTCAAGACACTGGGAGGCTAAGGCAAGAGAATTGCTTGAGTCCAGGAGATTGAGACCAGCCTGGGAAACATGGGGAAACCCCATCTCTACAAAAGCCACAAAAATTAGCCGGGCATAGTGGCAAGTGCCTGTAGTCCCAGGTTTTCAGGAGGCTGAGGTGGGAGGATGGCTTGAGCCTGGGAGGTGGAGGTTGCAGTGAGCTGAGATGGCATCATTGTACTTCAGCCTGGTGACAGAGAAAGACCCTGTCTCAAAAAAAAAAAAAAAATCCAAACCCAAAAAACCCTTTCCCCCTTTCCCTGGGCAACCAGGACATCTAGGTACAAGTTGACAGGGAAATTTTTATGCTCTTGGCTCAAAATCCAACTTGTTTCCAGATTTGTATTCAGAATACTCCAGAGATTGCCACCTCACCAGAAGTGTTGGGGGAGAGTTAGACACTCCAGAGAAGCTTAGATCAATCCCAGTTCCCCACAACCCAGACAGACTTTAGGACACAAGTCTGGACAACAAGGCCCTGTTAATTTACTAGAACATACAGTTGAAGTGATAAAAAATGTAAGTCATAGAAGCAAGGCCTTGATTGTGTGTCCTCAGACGCCCGCCTGTAGAGGGGCAGAGCCAGCAGATAATGATAAGAGGACTCGACGGGAAGATCTAAGTTCACTGCCTGTCTCTGACATTTATTAGTTGCCTTGGACAAGCCAATATTCTCAGACTTCATTGGCTTTGCCATCCAGAGAATGAGAGTAGTCATCCCAGTCCTGCTGGGTAGTATGAGGAAAGAACGTATAAGACAGCTCTAGGTAAATTGTGAAGGGCTGCGCAGATGTGAAGCTGTTGCCAACACCGGCCACAACTCCTATACCCACCAGTCTGCCGGCCCTGTTATTGTGAAGATTCATCAGGGCTCTGGCATCCTTCCCCTTCTCCAAACTGTCCACAAAGAGTTTGGAGATCCTTTCCCCAAATTCCACATTGTCGCTGCAGCCTCCCCAGATCCAGCCATGGCCTCCTAGACATAAAGAAAGAATAAATTCTCCATGTAGCTCCCTGCTAAATCCCAGTCACCTGCCAAACCATCCCCAGGAGCCCTAGGAGTGTAAAGCTATGACTGAAGGTAAACAAGGAAATGGAGGTGCTTGGGGTGGGTGGCAGGAGTCCTGTTGCTAGAGCCAACTGCCCAGCCTTTAGACACGTCCCAGCCATAAGCAATTAGTCTTCTATACCCGCTGTAAAAGTAGGCACACTGGGGCTGACTTAGATGCTCTCAAAGGTTCACTGCAGCTCAATCATTCTGGATTTCTGCACCATTATTCTACAATCATCTTGTAAAAGCCTCCCTCATTAGCGATAAATCTAAGGAAGCGTCTTAGGTGGTCTGCAAATTGTTGAGTGGCTCTGGATTATGGATGAGCCATTCCAAGCTTGAAATACCAGGGCTAGCTTTAACTCTCATTTCTAATTGCCTTGTTGCTTTTAGAGCTACTTGCTAATACCTGGACTCATGGACCAAGGCTCAACTCTAAGAGTGTAAGACTAGGAAATCCTAGTCTTTGAGTCTTGAGATTAGACTCCTTGCTGGAATCTTGAGGTTTAAGGGAGCTGTCTCCCTTAACGTTTTCCTGAAAGACTTTAGCCTGCACTCAGCTCTGTAGCCCCTCACCTCTTCCCATCCCTATTAGAAAGCCCAACTTACCTGTTTTTCCATTTCTTGACTCATCACAGCCACAGTTTTCGAAGTCACCCATGCTACAGTTCTTGGTGATGGTGTACATGACTCCAGCAGAGCTGATAGCATGTATGAAGGAAGTCTCTCTGGTGGCTTTGGAGAGAGAGAGAGGGGATTGACTGGAAACTTGGATCCTGATCACCCAAAGCAGAGGCTTTGGAAAAATGATGTTTCTCTCCCTTATCCCCCACTTCCTTTGGGTTTAAGAGGATGCTTTTCTTTCTTTTTTTTTTTTTAAGATGGAGTCTTGCTCTATCACCAGGTATAGTCATGTGATCTCAGCCCACTGCAACCTCTGCCTCCCAGGTTCGAGTGATTCTTCTGCCTCAGCCTCTCACGTAGCTGGGACTACAGGCACCTGTCACTATGCCCAGCTAATTTTCGTATTTTTAGTAGAGATGAGTTTCACCATTTTGGCCAGGATGGTCTCAATCTCTTGACCTTGTTATCCGACCGCCTCGACCTCCCAAAGTGCTGGGATTATAGGCGTGAGTCACCACACCTGGCCTGTTTTTTGGTTTTGTTTTTGTGTTTTGAGACAGAGTCTCAGTCTGTTACCCAGGCTGGAGTGCAATGGTGTGATCTCGGCTCACTGCAACCTCCAACTCCCAGGTTCAAACGACTCTCATGCCTCAGTCTCCCGAGTAGCTGGGACTATAGGTACATGCTACCACACCTGGCTAATTTTTTTAAATTTTTTATTTTTTGGTAGAGATGGGGTTTCACCATGTTGGCCAGAGTGGTCTAGAACTCCTCGGGCTCAAGTGATCTACTCACCTTAGCCTCCCAAACTGCTAGTATTACAGGCATGAGCAACGACAACTGGCCTATTATTATTATTATTATTTTCTTTTTTTTGAGATGGAGTTTTGCTTTTGTTGTGCAGGCTGGAGTGCAATGGCGCGATCTCGGCTCGCTGCAACCTCTGCCTCCTGGGTTCAGGCAATTCTCCTGCCTCAGCCTCCTGAGTAGCTGGGATTACAGGCACACACCACCATGCCCAGCTAATTTTTTGTGTTTTTAGTAGAGACGGGGTTTCACCATGTTGACCAAGATGGTCTCGATCTCTTGACCTCGTGATCCACCCGCCTCGGCCTCCCAAAGTGCTGCGATTACAGGCTTGAGCCACCGCGCCCGGCCCTATTATTATTAGAAATAGGGTCTCACTATGTTGCCCAGGCTGGAGTTGAACTCCTGGGTGCAAGCAATCCTTCTGCCTCAGCCTCCCAAAGTTGGAATTACAGGTGTGAGCCACTGCATCCAGCCAATGCACTTCTATTTGAAAGAACAATGCATATCTTTCCAGCCTCCTTACTTCATCCAGGCAGGAATGAACATCCCTATATTACCAAAAAGGAAAATAAAAACCAGAGGTAGAACGATGAGACCAATGTAATCCCAGCACTTTGGGAGGCTGAGGCTGCAGAATTGGTTGAGCCTGGGAGGCAGAGACTGCAGTGAGTCAAGATCGTGCCACTGCACTCCAGCCTGGGTGACAGAGTGAAACCCTATCTCAAAAAAACAAAAAACAAAAAACAAAGAATGATGAGAACGAGACCACTTTCTAGTTGCGGTGTTGAGCTAAGGACCCTGCTCCCTTCGAGTCCAGCCTTGACCTCTGTCCACTAGCCACTGCTGCTAGTCGTTAGGCAGTGAGACGCAGGGCCTGAGGCTGGCTTAGGAGAGGGAGAAGGACCTTTTCTGCTCTCTGACTGGGAAGCTTGGGCCGTGTAATAATCATAATAATTATGATTGCCACTTACTGAGCTCTTATCTTACTAAAGTTTTTTTTCTTTTTTTGTTTTTGTTATTTTATTTTATTTTATTATCTTACTAAAGTTTTTATAAATATTGTCACATTTCATTTCTACATACTCCCTATTCTATCTTATACTCTTATACCCCACAGGGAGATAGTTCCTTCTATCCTCTTCTTTTTTTTTGAGACAAGGTCTTGCTCTGTCACTCGGACAGGAGTGTAGTGGTGTGATTATAGCTCACTATGCCCTTGAACTCCTGGGTTCCAACAATCCTCCTACCTCAGCCTTCCAGGTAGCTGGGACTACAGGCACATGCTACCATGCCAGCTAATTTTTTTACTTTTATTGAGTAGAGACAAGGTCTTGCTATGTTGTCCAGGCTGATCTCGAACTCCTGAACTCAAGCAATCCTCCTGCCTTAGCCTCCCAAAGTGCTGGGATTATAGGCATGATCCCAGCCCATGCTTGGCCACTTTCTCCCTCTTCTTTATTCTCTTTCCCCTAACTATTCTCAGGTGAATATTATCTTCAAAAATGACATGCACACTTTGGCATACAGTGGCTACATGGGTACACACAAACACACACAGACACACACCCCACCTGAGGCACAGCTCAATGTAACATCTCAGCTTTTCTGTTGTTGGGATTTTATGGCAGTTAGCCATGTGAAACTTCCTCAGGGGCTGCAAACACAAAGCCCTTTCCCCATTTTTATTTCATGCAACTCAGTGCAAGACCAGTGTGTACAAACACATAAATATAGGCATGCATTTAAAAAATAGAGTAATTTCTCTGGGCATGGTGGCTCATGCCTGTAATTCCTGGCACTTTGGAAGGCTGAGGTGGGTGGATCACCTGAAGTCAGGAGATCAAGACCATCCTGGACAACATGGTGAAACCCCGTCTTAAAATAGAGTAATTTCATCTGGGCACAGTGGCTCACGCCTGTAATTCCCGGCACTTTGGGATCACCTGAGGTCAGGAGTTCAAGACCAGCCTGGTGAAACCCCTTCTCTACTAAAAGTACAAAAATTAGCTGGGCGTGAGGTATGGCTGTAATCCCAGATACCCAGGAGGCTGAGGCAGGAGAATCGCTTGAACTCGGGAGGTGGAGGTTGCAGCGAGCCGAGATCTTGCCATTGCACTCTAGCCTGGGCAACAAGAGCGAGACTCCATCTCAAAATAATAATAATAATAATAATAATAATAATAATTTCCTACATTTATCTCATAAATAGAGACATCTCATATCCACCTCATTCAACCCGTAGGATACTTCTGATGAACTACACAGAACTGGCCTTACTGACCCAAATGACAAATCTGGGGTTGAGAGAGGGGAAGTAATTTACTCAAGGTCACACAGCAAGGAAAGGCAGGTCAGCAGGTCACCGGCAGCATTTTCATTTCACTGTGCAACACATGTCACACATACACACATACTGCAAGCCCCTCTCCATTCACACATATGCCCCTTGCACAGGTGAGTCCCGCACAAACTTACCACTTCTCAGCCTGTTGTGGGTGGAGAGCTGGAGAGCATTTTCAGGGCAGTTCCAGCGTTCCCAAGCAAACTGGAACTTGCACTCCTCAATGCCACTCTGGGCACCTAAGGCCACGCTAGTTGTGTAGGTCAGATAAGCCTGGCAAAGGGAAAAGGGCTGTGAGCTTCTGCCCGGTATGGGTCATCTTGGATGGGGGGAGCAGGCAGGACTCAGATGGGCCAGCTCTCCATCGAGAATCAACTATGGGTTCCTCTGGGTGAGGCTCTCTGGCACTGTCCCCTCCCCTCTTTTCTCCAGAAGAGTCCCCTTAGGGCCCTCAGTGGGTAAAGGAAGCCGGAGATCATCCTACCTTGGGACCTGTTATCAGGAAATTGTTCACTGACCTACCAAAAAGAGAAAAAGTGAGGCAGAGGCGAATGAGGATGAGGTGGTGGGGGCTTGGAATGAGGGTGGGAAAGGACTTACCAGGCGGAGACACTGAATGTGGCACAGCATATGCCCACAGCTGCCCAGAGCACAAACAGGTTCCCCATCACCCTGCCTACCCCAGTGGACCAGGTCCAGCTCAGGGCCAAGTCCAGAGAAATGAGGAGAGGGTAGAGTCTTCCTCAGTGTTTATGTGAGAAAATTCTGAATGGCCAAGGGGGAAAATCAGCAGCTCCTCTCATTTGTTTCTCACTGGTAGGGCTGCAGAAGCCACTGATCCAATGGGGGGATCGATCGGGGAGGAGGGACTCAGTTTTCGAGGAAAGCCCCGCCCTGCCCAGCCCCTCCAGCCCTTCCCTCCCAAGACTGAGAGAGAGGCTGAAGCTTTTCTCCTACCCTTGAGCTTTCTTTATTCTGTATGTCAATTTTGTCTCTTCCTGCTTCTTCAGCCCATTTCTCAGAATCACATAGGCCACAGCAGGCTGGGTCCTTAACCCTGAAGGCAGGTCACCTATTCTTGGAGTTACAGTGTCCTCAGCTGTCAGTGAGCCTCTACTCTCTGCCCAGCCTCCTCCCCAAGCTGTTAATAATCATAAAGCAATGCCGTTTGGGGCCCCCACCTACTCATTTACCCAAACCAGTAAGTGCACCATCCCTCCCACTCCCTTCCAGGCTGTGAGGTGATGGAACTGTGGGACTATGGAGCAGGGACACTTCAGAGTTCATCTATGTATCAGTCCCTTCCACCACATGTAGCAAAGTAAGTGCTGGTAAATTTCCTTCATTCCTAGCAAATCTATCCTTTTTTTTTGAGATGGAGTCTCGCTCTGTCGCCAGGCTGGAGTGCAGTGGCATAATCTTGGCTCACTGCAACCTCTGCCCCCAGGTTCAAGCGATTCTCCTTCCTCAGCCTCCCAGGTAGCTGGGACTACAGGTGCATGCCACCATGCCCGGCTGATTTTTGTATTTTTAGTAGAGACAGGGTTTTACCATGTTGGCCAGTACGGTCTTGATCTCTTGACCTTGTGATCTGCCTGCCTCAGCCTCCCAGAGTGCTGGGATTACAGGCATGGGCCACCGTGTCTGGCTAATTTTTGTATTTTTAGTAGTGAAGGGGTTTTGCCATGTTGGCCAGCCTGGTCTTGAATTCCTGGGCTCAAGTGATCTGCCCACCTTGTTCTCCCAAAGTGCTGGGATTACAGTGTAAACCACCGAAGCCTTTCTTTCTGATACCACTTTGTTACTAGGACTTCAGCTTCTTAGGCAGGAATCTGTCTTTTATTTATTTTTTTTGAGACAGAGTTTGCTCTTATAGCCCAGGCTGGAGTGCAAATGTGCGATCTTAGCTCACTGCAACCTCTGCCTCCCATGTTCAAGCAATTCTCCTACTTCAGCCTCCCCAGCGGCTGGGATTACAGGCATGAACCACCATGCTGGATAATTTTGTATTTTTAGTAAAGATGAGGTTTCACCATGTTGGCTGGGTTGGTCTCAAACTCCTGACTTCAGGTGATCTGCCTGCCTCGACCTCCCAGAGTGCTGGGATTATACGCATGAGCCACTGCACCCAGCCAGGAATCTGTCTTTTTTTTTTTTTTGAGACGGAGTCTCACTCTTGTTACCCAGACTGGAGTGCAATGGCGCGATCTCGGCTCACCGCAACCTCTGCCTCCTGGGTTCAAGCAATTCTCCCGCCTCAGCCTTCCGAGTAGCTGGGACTACAGGCGCGCACCACCATGCCCAGCTAATTTTTGTATTTTTAGTAGAGACGGGTTTCACCTTGTTGACCAGGATGGTCTCGATCTCTTGACCTCATGGTTTCACCTTGTTGACCAGGATGGTCTCGATCTCTTGACCTCGTGATCCACCCGCCTCGGCCTCCCAAAGTGCTGGGATTATAGGTGTGAGCCACCGCACCTGGCCCAGGAATCTGTCTTTTAGGTTCACTTTGGATTCTTAGTGCTTAGGAAGGCGCCTGGATGAATGAATGAAAGAACCTGTCTGTGACCCTAGTGTACCACTGGATATGGTTGGGGACTAGAATAAAGGAGTGGAAGTCTTTCTTTGTTGGTGAAGCTCTTTCCTACAGCTGGGGAAGGAAGACTAGAGAAATTCAGAGGAGGAGGCCAGGGATGAGGAGGAGAAAAAATAAATAAATGAAAAAGAAGAAGAAGAAAAAAAGAAGTTCAGAGGAAAGCATAGATGGACAGTCACAGTTCTGATTCTATCCTGTGACCATTACAGCATCCAGATCACTTCCCAGCACCCTGGACCTGGTTTGGGTAGGAAGTGGAGCTCAGAGATCCCTCTACAGAAGGATTTCTAGGGGCCAAAGAGTCCCCAGATGTCTTCAGGGCAGTTCACTCCAAGTATGGGCCAGGATTGGCATCAGTCTACAAACTGACTGTGGTCCTTCTGAAATAAGATAATCGTGAAAATAGAAGTGTTTAGAAATTTTTATAGCAACTTGGAGCAATTTTAGATATGCTAAACCTAAGAGGAAATTTGGGCTCCTATTTTGTATGTAGTTTTTTGTTTCATTTCTCTGGAAGGATGAGGACAAAAAGCCCTAATGGACTAAAAAGCTCTGTCCCCCAGCCCCAGCAAACTCTCTTGCTTTGATTGCTTGTGGGCTTTTCTGCTTGGGGAAAATAGGTGTCCCAGACTTGAGTCACGTGAGAAAAGCCAACTGAGTTAGCCTCAGCCTCCTTTTCTCTGTCTCCTACTTTTCCCAGTTAAGAATCTAACTTAACGTTCACTTCTTAAGACGGCAGGTTGATTTCCATGGCACTCACTGTGGGGTCAGAACAGGGTTAGTGATAGCTCTGAGGAAGTCCCATGCCACTTTGAAAGAGTTTTAGGAGTAACTCGGCATTCACTTCCTGTGTGTACGTGATTGGGTCTTATGCTTCTGTGTCCCCCACTGTACCTGGAATTTAGTTGGTACTCTACAAAAAATACTCTTTTATTTTGAAGATAGTTTTTTGTGTGCAAACTGTGCTTGCTCCTGCTCAGATTCTATAAAGATCATACAGTCTGTAAAAGGAAGTGAGAATTTATATAGAGAGGCCTCTGCTCCAGTATCAGGAGCCCTGGGCTTTGGGTACTAATTTGTGGTTTGACCATGGGCAAGCTATTCATCCCTGTCTAGACTCAGATTCTTTATTTTTTATTTTTATTTTTTTGAGACAGAGTCTTGCTCCATGACCAGGCTGGAGTACAATAGCGAGGTCTCGGCTCACTGCAACCTTCATCTCCCGGGTTCAAGTGATTCCCCTGCCTCAGCCTCTGAGTACCTGGAACTACAGGCACTTGCCACCATGCTTGACTAGTTTCTTATGTTTTAGTAGAGACCAAATGGCCAGGATGATCTTGATCTGACCTCATAATCCGCCTGCCTCAGCCTCTCAAAGTGCTGGTATACAGGTATGAGCCACCATGCCGGCCTCAGATTCTTCATCTATAAAATGAGAGAATGGGGAAAATGTTGAAGGCTGAATGACCACTAAAGACTTTCCCAGCTGGGCTGAGCATGGAGCTCACGCCTATAATCTCAGCCTTTTGAGAGGATTAGGCGGGACGATCACCTGAGCCCTGGAGTTTTAGGTTACAGTGAGCCATGATCCTGCCACTGTACTCTAGCCTAGGTGACAGAATGAGACCCTGTCTCTTAAAAAATACTTTCCCAACTGTCTGTCTCTCTTTTTTTTTCTTAAGACGGAGTCTTACTCTGTCGCCCAGGCTAGAGTGCAGTGGTGCAGTTTAGGCTCACTGCAGCCTCCACCTCCCGGGTTCAAGTGATTCTACTGCCTCAGCCTCCCAAGTAGTAGGGACTACAGACACTCACCACACCTGGCTGATTTTTGTATTTTTAGTAGACGGGGTTTGACCATATTGGCCAGGCTGGTCTCAATCTCCTGACCTTGTGATCCGCCTGCCTCAGCCTCCCAAAGTTCTGGGATTACAGGTGTGAACCACCATGCCCAGCTTCCAATTCTCTTACATGTTATAATCCTAACTTTAAAATGTATAGCCTTAGGCTAGGGCTCACTCCTGTAATCCCAGCACTTTGGGAGACAGAGGCAGACAAATCATCTGAGTTTAGGAGTTTGAGACCAGCCTGGCCAACATAGTGAAACCCTGTCTCTACTAAAAATACAAAAATTAGCTGGACATGGTGGCTTACACCTGTAATCCCAGCTACTCAGGAGGCTGAGGCACGAGAATCACTTGAACCCTGGAAGCAGAGGTTGCAGTGAGCCAAGACTGTACCACTGTGCTCCAGCCTGGGTGACAGAGTGAGACTCTGTCTCAAAACAAAACAACAACAAATTTACAGAGTTTATTAATCCCAGAGGTGATTGTAGGCCAGAAATCTTATCTCTTCAGTTGGGAGCATTGGAATTATCTTTTGTTTGTTTGTTTTTGAGAAGGAGTGTCACTCTGTCACCCAGGTAGCGTTCAGTGCTGCAATCTCAGCTCTCCTCAACCTCTGCCTCCTGGGTTCGAGTGATTCTTATGCCTCAGCCACCCAAGTAGCTGGGAGTACAGGTGCCCGCCTCCACACTTGGCTAATTTTTGTATTTTTAGTAGAGAGGGGGTTTCACCATGTTGGCCAGGCAGGTCTCCAACTCCTGGCCTCAAGGGATTTGCCCAACTCGGCCTCCCAAAGTGCTAGGATTACAGACGTGAGCCACTGTGCCTGGCAAGAATTATCTTATATATTTTTAAATCCTGCAGTTGACCATTAAATGGGCCTTTAAGATGGATACCTGGAGGATAACCAATGCCTTCTTCAGAGTCCTTTGGGGTATATCTACATAAGACCCCTATACGGGACTGACCAAATTTTTCACTGCAGACAGAGGTTTCCTGGAGAGAATAGTAAGAAGCATTCCACATCAAGTCTGCAAATCATTTCCAGTCAACCTGTGCATCAATTTCCTTAATCCCAACTTTATTGTCTCATTAGCTTTTTAAGTTTTTTTTAGATGGAGTCTCTGTTGCCCAGGCTGGAGTGCAGTGGCGTGATCTTGGCTCAGTGTAACCTCTGCTTGCCAGGTTCAAGCGATTCTCCCGCCTCAGCTTCCCAAGTAGCGGGGACTACAGGCGCATACCACCATGCCTGGGTAATTTTTGTATTTTTAATAGAGACAGGGTTTCACCATGTTGGCCAGGCTGGTCTCGAACTCCTGCCTTCAAGTGATCTGCTTGCCTCCTAAAGTGCTGGGATTATAGGCGTGAGCCACCACTCCTAGTCTCATTAGCTTTTAAGTAATGAGAAGTCAACTCTTGGTTTCTCTCTTGCAGGAATGGAAATCTAGAGCTGAAGCCTAGAGCAGAAGGTGACAGTGGGGACACATGAGCCTATGACAAGACAGATTGAATAGTAGTATCTCTGAAGCCCTGGTATGCTGACAAATGACTAGCAACTGGCTTGGGTGCAGGAGATAAGGTATGTATCTATGTATAATGTCAAGTAGAACATGTAAATAGATACGAGGAATATGCATTTGCACCTCTGGGAAGGTATTACCAGGTAATCCTGAAGGCCCTTTCCACCTCTGATGTTCCAGGATGACGAGATTCCAGGAGTCCCAGGGAAGCACTGAGGACTATAATTGATAAAGGACATACCAACGTCACCCTTGCTGTGCCCAGCTTCAGGAAATTCAGAGGCCATTTGTGGAACCTTAGAGTGTCTGAGCTAGAGAGTCCCATTTGACAAGGAGGTACCTGAGACCCACAGAGAATTTGTTCAGGTTTACACAGTGATTCAGGGCCAAGAGAGCCTGGATTACACCATCCCGGTTTACTCAGGACGGAGAGGTCTCCTATAGTTTGGGGCTTTCAATGTTAAAGCCTGGAGAGTCTTGAGCAAACCAGGATAGCTGGTCACCCGACAGCAGAAGTATGCCTCCTAGGCCAGTGTTTCTTTCTAAAAATTCTTTCACTGAACTTCCCAAATCCTTCATTCCCCAACATTTCTTTCCCAGGCTCCTTGCAGGGCCTTTCCCCTGAGCCTACAGGGATTGATGAGACTGTAGGAGCAAGCTGCAGAAGAGTTGAGAGGGAGCAGTGAGGGGGCGGAGATGACTGGAGAATGTCAAAAGACAAAGAGATAGGATTTCTGACTTTTTACACTTCTCTGCTACTTAGATAAAGGATTGGGGCAGGGGGAGAATGAGTCCCCATGCATATTCTTCTGAGCTGTGACAGGGAGCAGAGTCTAGGGATTTTCTGCCCCTGATCTCCACCCCTCCTCCTTGGAAGCTTCTAACCTCCTGGGGATACTTGACTCCCAGTCCAAATGCCACAGCTGCTTGAGCTCCTGACCCTCCCTTTGGCCCCTTCAATTTAGCCTTAGTGACTTACCAAGTTGCCCCAACAATATGCTGTGGGAAAAAAGTGGGATGCTTTAGTTTTCCTTTTTAGCTTCAGAGTTCCGGGTGTGGGCAGGGAAATGAGGTCCCTATGTGAAAATGGGAGCAGTTGGTGGTCTGTTGGATACATGGGCCTGTAAGGACAGGGGCACATTGAGTGGGGAGGGGGGAATCAGTCTGCAAGCCATGACTAGATCTGTTTTGTGTTGGAAAGTATGTTTCCTTCATGAGTCTGGAAGCTGCCTAAGGCTGGGCCCTGCCAATCCCAGCCACACGGTGATGGCCCAAGGATAGGGACCTATTTCTCCCATCAGACTGAAGTACCCAAATGCTAGAAGCTCCGTCTTCACCATTAGCCTAGGAAGAATTAGAGTTGGAGGGGCCCACTCAATACAAGTTTCCAATTGGCTAAAGCCTCTTATTTTTTATTCCCCCATTGTTTTAAACCTCCATCTCTATTCATCTCTGGATAGGAAATAGAAGTTCTCAATTAATGTTTATTAATTAATTGTCAATGAAGAAGGTTTGGAACTGGTTGCAGGATTTTACAAGTTTTCAGAGAAATATGCATCCATCCATTCATTTATTAATTCCAAAAATATTTACCTACTCAGTTCAGGCCAGTACTCAATACTATGAGTTTAAGATGAATTGGGAGATATTTTCATCCTGTAGAAGTTCTCATTCTGGTCTGAGAGAGACAGATGTTTAAATTATTTTTAATAGAACAGTGAGATAAGGAACATTGGAAAGGTGGGAGGGATGGAAGTAAACAGGGATAAATAAGTAAACGCCATAAAAGGGACTTCTGATGAAGATCTGCCATCTGCCGGCAGTGAGTGGTACAACAGGCTCTCGTTGCCAGAATGTAGGTTCAGTACCGGAATTTTAGCCATTATCCAGTACCTGCCTAATGGATAGCCAGCCTAGTGGTTGGCACTGAACTGTAAAGCTTGTAAAGGGATCTTTGTCTTTGAAAAATTTGCACTATGCTTATGGATGTAAAATATAATTTAAAAAGTTGTCTATCGCCTTCCGCCACAGTCACCATTGGAGAGTAGCAGCCGTGGCTCTTCGCTATCCTATGGCCGTGGGCCTCAACAAGGGCCACAAGTAACCAAGAACGTGAGCAAGCCCAGGCACAGCCGCCGCCACAGGCATCTGACCAAACACACCAAGTTCATGCGGTACATCATCCGGGAGGTGTGTGGCTTTGCCCTGTACAAGCAGTGCGCCATGGAGTTACTGAAGGTCTCCAAGGACAAACTTTTCCCTCAAGGTCATCAGGAAAAGGGTAGGGACACACATCCGCGCCAAGAGGAAACGGGAGGAGCTGAGCAATGTCCTGGCCACCATGAGGAAAGCCGCTGCCAAGAAAGACTAAGCCCCCTCCCCTGCCCTCTCCCTGAAATAAACAGCTTGACACCCCCTTCCCCCCAAAATAAGAAGTTCTAGCCAGATTAATCAGACAAGAAAAATAAATAAAGGGTATTCAGTTAGGAAAGGAGGAAGTCAAACTGTCTCTATTTGCAGATGACATGTTTTTTTTTTTTTTTGAGACGGAGTTTCGCTCTTGTTACCCAGGCTGGAGTGCAATGGAGCCACTGCAACCTCTGCCTCCTGGGTTCAGGCAATTCTCCTGCCTCAGCCTTCTGAGTAGCTGGGATTACAGGCATGCGCCACCACACCCAGCTAATTTTTTGTATTTTTAGTAGAGATGGGGTTTCACCATGTTGACCAGGATGGTCTGGATGTCTTGACCTCGTGATCCACCCGCCTCGGCCTCCCGCAGTGCTGGGATTACAGGCGTGAGCCATTGCGCCGGGCCTGACATGATTGTATATATAGAAGACCCCATCGTCTCAGCCCAAAATCTTCTCAAACTGATAAGCAACTTCAGCAAAGTCTCAGGATACAAAATCAATGTGCAGAAATCACAAGCATTCCTATATACCAATAACAGACAGAGAGCCAAATCAAAAGCGAACTATCATTCACAATTGCTACAAAGAGAATAAAATACCTAGAAATACAACTAACAAAAGATGTAAAGGAGAACTACAAACCACTGCTTAATGAAATAAGAGAGGACACAAACAGATGGAAAAACATTCCATGCTCATGGTTAGGAAGAATTAATATCATGAAAATGCCCATACTGCCCACAGTAATCTATAGATTCAATGCTATCCCCATCAAGCTACCAATGACCTACTTCGCAGAACTGGAGAAAACCACTTTAAACTTCATATGGAATCACAAGAGAGCCTGCATAGCCAAGACAATCCTAAGCAAAAAGACCAAAGCCAGAGGCATCATACTGCCGGACTTCAAAATATACTACAAGGCTACAGTAATCAAAACAGAATGGTACTGGTACCAAAACAGAGACATAGACCAATGGAACAGAACAGAGGCCCCAGAAGAAACACCACACATCTACAACCATCTGTTTATTGATAGACCCAGCAAAAACAAGCAATGGGGAAAGGACTCCATGTTTATTTTTTATTTTTATTTTTTTTTGAGACGGAGTTTCGCTCATTACCCAGGCTGGAGTGAATGGCGCAATCTCAGCTCACCGCAACCTCCGCCTCCTGGGTTCAGGCAATTCTCCTGCCTCAGCCTCCTGAGTAGCTGGGACTACAGGCACGCGCTACCATGCCCAGCTAATTTTTTTATTTTTATTTTTAGTAGAGATGGGGTTTTACTATGTTGACCAGAATGGTCTCGATCTCTTGACCTCATGATCCACCCGCCTCAGCCTCCCAAAGTGCTGGAATTACAGGCGTGAGCCACCACGCCCGGCCCTATTTTTTAATTTTTATTTTCGTTTTTTGAAACGGAGTTTTCGCTCTTGATACCCAGGCTGGAGTGCAATGGAGCAATCTTGGCTCACTGCAACCTCCACCTCCTGGGTTCAGGCAATTCTCCTGCCTCAGCCTCCTGAGTAGCTGGAAATACAGGCACGTGCCACTGTGCCCAGCTAATTTTTTGTATTTTTAGTAGAGACGGGGTTTCACCATGTTGACCAGGATGGTCTCCATCTCTTGACCTCGTGATCCACCGCCTTGGCCTCCCAAAGTGTTGGGATTACAGGCTTGAGCCACCGCACCCGGCTGGACTCCTTGTTTAATAAATGGTGTTGGGAAAACTGGCTAGCAATGGGCAGAAAGCAGAAACTGGACCCCTACCTGTCACCTTACACTAAAATTAACTCCAGATGGATTAGAGATTTAAACATAAAACCTAACACCATAAAAACACTAGAAGAAAACGTAGGCAAAACTATCCAGGACATAGGCATAGGCAAGGACTTCATGCCTAAAACACCAAAAGCAATGGCAATAAAAGCCAAGATAGACAAATGGGATCTAACTAAAATTCAGAGCTTCTGTACAGCAAAAGAAACCATCATTAGAGTGAATTTGCAATCTACCCGTCAGACAAAGGGCTAATAACCAGAATCTACAAAGAACTAAAACAGATACACAAGAAAAAAAACAAACAAGCCCATTCAAAAGTGGACGAAGGATAAAAACAGACACTGTTCTTTTTTTTTAAAATTATTTTATTTTATTTTTTTTGAGATGGGGTTTCACCATGTTGGTCAGGCTGGTCTTGAACTCCTGACTTTGTGATCCACCCTCCATGGCCTCCCGAAGTGCTGGGATTATAGGTGTGAGCCACCATGACCGGCCAACAGACACTTTTCAAAAGAAGACATATATGAGGCTAACAAACATATGAAAAAATGCTCATCATCACTTGTCAATAGAGAAATGCAAATCAGGCCGGGTGCAGTGGCTCGAGCCTGTAATCCCAGCACTTTGGGAGGCCAAGGCAGGTGGATCACCAGGTCAAGCAATCGAGACCATCTTGGCCAACATGGTGAAACCCCGTCTCTACTAAAAATACAAAAATTAGCTGGGTGTGGTGGCGTGCACCTGTAGTCCCAGCTACTCAGGAGGCTGAGGCAGGAGAATTGCTTGAACCCAGGAGGCGGAGGTTGCAGTGAGCCAAGATTGTGCCACTGCACTCCAGCCTGGTGCCTGGCAACAGAGCGAGACTCTGTCTCAAAAAAAAAAAAAAAGAAAAAGAAATGCAAATCAAAACCACATTGAGATATCATCTCAAGCCAGTTAGAATGGCAATCATTAAAAAATCTGGAGACAACAGATGCTGGAGAGGATGTGGAGAAACAGGAACACTCTTACACAGGTAGGAGTGTAAATTAGTTCAACCACTGTGGAAGACAGTGTGACGATTTCTCAAGGATCTAGAAATAGAAATTCCATTTGATCCAGCAATCCCATTACTGGGCATATATCCAAAGAACTATAAATTGTTCTACTATAAAGACACACGCACACGTATGTTCATTGCAGCCCCGTGTACAATAGCAAAGACCTGGAACCAACCCAAATGCCCATCAATGACAGACTAGACAAAGAAAATGTGGTATATATACATTATGGAATACTATGCAGCCATAAAAAACGATGAGTTCATGTCCTTTGTAGGGACTTGGATGAATCTGGAAACCATCATTCTCAGCAAACTGACACAAGAACAGAAAGCCAAACACTGTATGTTCTCACTCATAGGTGAGTGTTGAACAATGAGAACACGTGGACTCAGGGAGAGGAGCATCACACACTGGGGCAGTTGTGATGGGGAGGGATAACCTGGGAAGAAATGCCAGATATAAAGTTAAAAAAATAAATTTAAAAAAATACTTAATGTAAAAAAAAAAGAAAAAGTTGAGTTGCAGAGAAAGGGAGACGAGTGATGGGGGGCCGAGACTCGTGGGTTCTGCTCTTCTTCTGAGGAGTTAGATGCTTCCACCTGGGGCCAGAGGGTGGAGAACACACCTAAACATGTGGAACCCCAATGCCGGGCAGCTAAATCCATATCCCCCCAACATCGGGTGCCCTGGAAATTCCAGTTCTGCCCACCCACCACCTGTCAATCCATCCTTTCCCCCAGGCCCCTATCCTCCTCCCACAGGAGCTCCCCACTGCAATCCAGTTTTCCCCCCATGTGGGCCCCCTCCTCCTGTGTTACAGCCAGGGTATCCAGGATGCCAACCCTCTGGTCCCTACCCTCCTCCATACCCACCCCCTGCCCCTGGAATGCCTCCTGTGAATCCCTTGGCTCCTGGCGTCGTTGGACCAACAGTGATAGTGGACAAGAAGATGCAGAAGAAAATGAAGAAAGCTCATAAAAAGATGCACAAGCACCATAAGCACCACAAGCATGGCAAGCATTCCTCCTCCTCTTCCAGCAGTGACTCTGACTGAATACAGGCCCTGGACCCTTCCCTCAAGTCTCACCAGTTCTGCTCTCCCATCAAGCTTCAGATGCCATGTTATACTGGGGGAAAGTAGCTCTTGTGCTCCCTTCCCTCACCCCCACCTGAGCCTCACCCTGCTGTTCAGCCCTGAGTGCCTAGGAAAAATGGGAAGAGGACTGCCATGGCATGGCTGTCTTCTTGCTGCTGGGATAGATCATATAGCTAATGAGTTTAGCAGGGGAGCTATTTTTTGAAGATGATGAACTAAATGTTGAAGACAGGTTTGAGATCTGTAAAATGTGATTTTTACTTCCTTTTATAATACTTTTGATTGAGGGGTTTGTGGAAATTTAATTATGATGAAGAACCTCTATCTTTTTTGTAATGTTGGCATACTTGGAGAATTTAGTGGCAAATACATTCCCCAGCAGGCCTTTTTTTGGTTGCACTAACTGCAAGGTTGCTGGGAAGTAGAGTCCATTTGGTTGATGAGCCTTGACTGCTGTTTTGGAACCTCACCTCTTCTCCTTAGCCCAATATACTGTGTCAGGTCCTATTCTCGTTCTCCAGCTCTCAGTCCAAATAAAGTTATTTCTCCTGGAAAAAAAAAAGAAGAAAAAGTTGTCTATCAACCAGGTAACACATATTTGAATGTGCATGCACACAAAAAACACTTAAAAAAAGCATAGGTCAGGCATGGTGGCTCACGTCTGTAATCCCAGCACTTTGGGGGCCAAGACTCTTTCAAAGGCCAAGTTGGATGAGAGACTCTCATTTTTTACATTACATATTTCCATGTTTTGTTAATTTTTTTGGTAACAACCACGAATTAAATTTTAAAAAAATCTACATGGAATAATTGCCGGGCGTGGTGGCTCACGCCTATAATCCTAGCACTTTGGGAGGCCAAGGTGGGTGGATCGCCTGAGGTCAGAAGTTCAAGACCAGCCTGGCCATCATGGTGAAACCCCATCTTTAAAAAAAAAAAAAAATCTACATGGAGTCTTGCTCTTTTGCCCAGGCTGGAGTACAATGGCATGATCTCAGCTCACTGCAACCTTTCCCTCCTAGGTTCAAGTGATTCTCTTGCCTCAGCCTCCTCAGTAGCTGGGATTACAGGTGCGCACCACCATGCCTGCCTAATTTTTTGTATTTTTAGTAGAGATGGGATTTCACCATGTTGGCCAGGCTGTTCTCAAACTCCTGACCTCAAGTGATCTACCCGCCTTGGCCTTACAAAGTGCTGGGGTTACAGACATAAGCCACAGTGCCTAGCCTTAATTTTCTACGTTCTCTTTTTCTTTCTTTTTTTTGAAACGGAGTCTCGCACTGTCTGCTGGGCTGGAGTGCAATGGCACCATCTCAGCTCACTGCAACCTCTGCCTCCTGAGTTCACGCGATTCTTCTTCCTCAGCCTCCCAAGTAGCTGGGATTACAGACGCATACCACCACATCCAGCTAATTTTTGTATTTTTAGTAGAGATGGGGTTTTACTATGTTGGTCAGACTGGTCTCAAACTCCTGACCTAATGATCCGCCTGCCTCAGCCTCCCAAAGTGCTGGGATCACAAGTGTGAGGCCCCGCGCCTGGCTCTATGTTCTCTTTTTCTACAGTTATTTCTGGGTTGGGTGTGTAAGGGGTAGGGGATGTTGGACCTCCTGCACTAATTTTTCTCATTTTCTTATCTTTTATTTCCTGTTTTCCATTTTTTTGTTCTGTTGTTGAGGAGAGTTCCTCAATTTTATCTTCCCATCCTTATGTTGGATTTCTAAAAATTTCTGTATCAAATACTTAATACCTAAGCCTTTTCCCTTACTCTCTGAATATTCCTTTTTTTTTTTGAGATAGAGTCTCACTCTGTCACCCAGGCTGAAATGCAGTGTTACAAATCTCAGCTCACTGCAACTACCAAGTTCAATCGATTCTCCAGCCTCAGTCTCCCAAGTAGCTGGGATTACAAGGCTGCATCACCACACCAGGCTAATTTTTGTATTTTTAGTAGAGATGGTGTTTTGCCATATTGCCCAGGGTGGTCTCGAACTCCAGACCCCAGGTGATCTGCCCACCTCAGCCTCCCAAATTACTGGGATTACAGGTATGAACCACCACACCCGGCCTGAATATTCCTTTTTCATAGTAGTCTGTTCTTATTTCATGATTGCAATATCTTCTTTTAACTCTCTAAGGATATGATTTTTAAAACTTTTGTCTCCTATTTTATTTCTTTTTCTAAATTCCTTTTTATTATAATGTTAGAGCCTTTTCTCAAAAGCCTAGCGATGCTTGGCTGTTCATTCATGCTTAATAATGAGGAACTAAAAAGCTCTTTGTATCTGGATATGGCTTATTGAATAGTGCGCTTCACTCCAGAGGGTTAAGATAGGCTCTAGCTAGTTCACTGGGGAATCCTAAGCATCAGTATCTTTAAGTCTTTTCTCTAGGGCTAGTTTTACCAGAGGTCTTTTAGTCTACAACTCAATAGGTGAAAAATCTTTCATTTTAATTTGTATTTTTTATTTATTTACTTTTTAGACAGAGTCTTGCTCTGTCGCCAGGTGCCAGGCTGGAGTGCAGTGGCGCGATCTCGGCTCACTGCAACCTCTGCCTCCTCGGTTCAAGCAATTCTCCTGCCTAAGCCTCCCGAGTAGCTAAGACTACAGGCGTGCCACTACGCCCAGCTAATTTTTGTATTTTTAGTAGAGACGGGGTTTCACCATGTTGGCCAGGATGGTCTCGATCTCTTGACCTCGTGATTTGCCCACCTCGGCCTCCCAAAGTGCTGGGATTACAGGCATGAGCCACTGCACCTGGCCAAAAATAAAAAGACAATGATATTATTATTATTATTTTGAGATGAAGTTTTGCTCTTGTTGCCCAGGATGGAGTGCAATGGCATGGTCTTGGCTCACTGCAACCTCTGCCTCCCAGGTTCAAGTGCTTCTCCTGCCTCAGCCTCCCAAGTAGCTGGGATTACAGGTGCCCGCCATCACACTCAGCTAATTTTTGTATTTTAGTAAATATGGGGTTTCACCATGTTGGCCAGGCTGATCTAGAACACCTGGCCTCAAGTGATCCACCCACCTGAGCCTCCCAGAGTGCTGGGATTACAGACATCAGCCACTGTGCCCAGCAAAAAATATATATTTTGAGTACCAGGAACTAGGTTAGATGCTGGGAATATATCTCTGTTGCCCAGGCTGGAGTGCAATAGTGCGATCTCAGCTCACTGCAACCTCTGCCTCCTGGGCTCAAGCCATTCTCCTGCCTCAGCCTTCCGAGTAGCTGGGATTACAGGTGCACACCACCACACCTGGCTAATTTTTGTATTTTCAGTAGAGACAGGGTTTCCCCAAGTTGGTCAGGCTGGTCTCGAACTCCTGACCTTGTGATCCACCCGCCTCGGCCTTCCAAAGTGTTGGGATTATAGGCCTGAGCCTTGGTGTCAGGCCTGCCTTTTTTTTTCTTTTTTAATTAGCATATCCTTGGCAGTTTGCATTGAAAAATAGAGGCTGTAGCTATGATGATAACCTTAAAAAATAAGTTGCAGAGGCCAGGCGCCATGGCTTACACATGTAATCCCAGCACTTTGGGAGGCCGAGCTGGGTGGATCACATAAGGTCAGGAGTTGGAGACTAGCCCGACCAACATGAAGAAACCTCATTTCCACTAAAAATACAAAAACTTAGCTGGGCATGGTAGCACATGCCTGTATTCCGGCTACTCAGTAGGCTGAAGCAGAAGAATTGCTTGAACCTGGGAGGCGGAGGTTGTGGTGAGCAGAGATTGTACCATTGCACTCCAGCCTGGGTAACATGAGGGAAACGGTATAAAAAAAAATTGCAGAAAACAAGATCAATTTATTGCCAATATTTCCCAAGGTGTTTTTAATTTTTATTATCCTTTTTGGTCTTTGCCCCTCTGGCATTTCGATGGTTATGTTAGAAAACGACTGATAATTCACTCTGCCTCTTCCTACCTAACCCATATTTATCAATCTGTTGCAGGTGGCTCAATTTTGGTTCAAGAGGCACTGAACACTTTTCCAAGAGGGGCGATACAAACTTCCTCATAACCATTGTATAGCTACCGATGCCTAAGAAAAATGTTAGGGAAAGTTCTATTGTTCCCCATCTACCCCTTTTCCTAATTTGAAAACAAGGAGCAGTGCGGGAGGAAGGGGCCCCACGTGGAGTTCTATGTTCCTGAAAAGGGTTAATTTACTAGCAAGCAAGCCTGGCCCAGAGTCTTTGTAGCCAATGGGGGCTCGCCCTGATGAGGTAATGCTTTCAGCCCATGTTTCATTGGTTGCCTTTCTCATTACTAGGCGTTCTCGGAGGCTGGGAAGTGGAGAGGGCTAGTTTTAGGGCTAATGGGGGCTTTTTCCTCGTGACAGGTGGTGCTTACAGAAATGCTTGGAGCCAGTTGTGGAAATCTGTTTCCTCTTCTCAGATGCCTGCATCTTGAGCCAGTTCTTCTACCTGGGGCTCTAAGGGTGTCTTCTAGTCTGGTTCTTGTCCCCAACCCACTGTCAGCTCCTAGGGTTCTCAGCAATGAGAACACGAATGTGATGAAGTTGTCTTAAGCCCTGATGAGCCGGAGCTGGAAGGAAAGCCTGCCCATCCTCGGATGAATACGTCCCATTACTTTTGTCAGCATGGGACCTTGGAATGTAGCAGCTCTTCACTTCTGAACCCTCTTTGGCTGGGGAGCAGAAGCACTGGCTGTGAGTCAGGCTGACTGCCTCTATACTTCCCCCACAAAGTTTTAGGAGTGGTGAGGAAAACTGGGGCTTCCTTCCAGCCATCTTTCCTCTGTCCGTGGTCTTCTATTTTGCTTACCTCCATTCTGGGAAGTTGTAGTGGCCCATGTAAGTCCTTTGACAAGCAAACAATTGTTTATCATGTTTCTGAAAGAACTTGGAGAACCCTTGGCCTTGCTTTTTACGTTTTTGGCCCTGCTTTTACATCAAGATCTGTATGAACTTCCTGGTAAGGAGAGAGGAAGCACCAGATTCCAGGCTGTATGTAAACAGGGAAACGAGGCTGGGAACGTGAAGTAGTTGTGGATGAAGTGGGGGTAATAGACAAGTGCTTGTTTCTGTCAATCAGCCTAATTTTTGCCTATAAACTTCATGCTGCTTTTTACACACTTAAGAACTAGACAACAAAGAACCAAGAGGGTATATTTCGGATGGCTGAACTCTGAAGTTTTTCAGGGCTGACTTGTAAAGAAGAAGTGGACATTGTACGTATGAATAGGACTTTACAACCACAAGGGGGAAAATTAGTAGAGGCTTCTAAGAGAGAGATGAAGCAGAACAGATTCTGTGGGCTCTGAGAGCTGAGGGAGACAGCATTGCAGAGGTGAACGGGCTCCCTGGGTCACTGAAGAGTAAATGATCAAACCAATTTGAAACAAAAGTTAGCTGTAAGCATCAGTCCTGCTTTTCATGGTTGAACTTCACAGAATGAGATTCTGGGAGTCGAAGGGAATAATATTTTATGCCATTTTACTGTGTAATTCTGGGAAAGGAGCTCTTTTTCTGTGACCCAGTTTAACTGTCTAAAAATAAAGAAATCACCCTGAATTCAAAGGAAGAATCTGTAAGTGAAAGGCTTACTCTAAGTGTTTAAAAGCTTGCCTACGGCATTTAAGATTCTGATGATATTGTCTGAAATATCCTGAAACTAACCCCATTCAGGCCTCCACCCACAGGATAAAGGTCTTCTTTTCATCCTGGTCTCACTCCACGCCTCCACCCCCAGCTGACAGGGATCTGACCCTCCCTAGATTAATCACAGAAAACATGAAAGACCAGGAAGAAAAGGCATAGTAAAAAGTAGGAGGCTTCCACATCAACGTGGGATAGTAATATGTATTTACAGGATGATCAGTTAATACATTTGAGAAAGTGCTTTGTAAGCTGTTGCCATGATAACAAATGGGTTTATGCTCCTGAAAAGAATAGGAATTGTGTTTTACTCATTGTGTTCTACCCCAGTGCCTAGCCCAGGACCCCGCACTTTTCTGGGGGTGACTTTTTATTGGATTTTTTTTTTTTTTTTTTTTTTTTTTTGAGACAGAGTTTCGCTCTTGTTACCCAGGCTGGAGTGCAATGGCGCGATGCCGGCTCACTGCAACCTCTGCCTGGGTTCAAGTGATTCTTCTGCCTCAGCCTCCCGAGTAGCTGGGACCACAGGCTCGTGCCACCATGCCCGGCTAATTTTTGTATTTTTTTTTTTAGTGGAGATGGGTTTCACCATGGCCAGGATGGTCTCGATCTCTTGACCTCGTGATCTGCCCACCTCGGCCTCCCAAAGTGCTGGGATTACAGGCGTGAGCCACTGAGCCCAGCCTTTTTTTTTTTTTTTAGAGACAGGGTCTCACTATGTTGCCCAGGCTGGTCTTGAACTGCTGGACTCAAGCAATTCTCCTGCCCAAAGTGTTGAGATTACAGGCTAGGCTTGAGCCACTGTACTGGTGAAAAATTTTAATTATATGAAGGTAGAAAGAATAGTTTAATGTGACTCCATATATCCATCTCCCAGCTTCAGACTATTAATAACCCATCACATAGGTGCTTAATGTTGTGAGGAGAAAAGGGGGGAGTTTGGTAGTTTCTTAGACATACTTTACTCCATCTTTCTTGGGAAGATTATGATCAATATGAACCATAAATCAGAAAAATTACATTTCCTGTACTTCACATTAGGTTAATCACATTTGAGAAAAACCAAAAGTGAAATTCTTTTATTTTTTGAAACGGAGTTTTGCTCTTGTTGCCCAGGCTGGAGTGCAGTGGTACAATCTTGGCTCACTGCAACCTCTGCCTCCGGGGTTCAAGCGATTCTTCTGCCTCAGCTTCTTGAGTGGCTGGGATTACAGGCATGCACCACCACACCCAGCTAATTTTGTATTTTTAGTAGAGACAGTTTTACCATGTTGGTCAGGCTGGTCTCAAACTCCTGACCTCAGGTGATCCACCCGCTTCAGCCTTCCAAAAGTGCTGAGATTACAGGCATGAGCCACCACACCTGGCCAGAAATTCTTTTTTTTTGAGATAGGGTCTCACTCTATTGCCCAGGCTGGAATGCAGTGGTACAATAATGGCTCAATGAAGCTTTGACTCCCCACACTCAAGTAATCCTCTCACCTCAGCCTTCAGAGTAGCTGGGACTACAGGCATGTGCCACCATGCCCAGCTAATTTTTGTATTTTTTTGGATAGAGGCAAGGGTTTCGACATACTGCCCAGGCTGGTCTTGAACTCCCGGGCTCAAGTGATCCACCCACCTCAGCCTCCCAAAGTTCTGGAATTACAAGCTTGAGTCACCAAGCCCAGCTGAAAGTTAAATTCTTAGGAATACCTTTCATTTATTTTTAATTAATTAATTTTTTAACATTCTTGGAGTAAGGAACACCTTTCAATCTGGATTACTTAATAAAAGGATTATAAAATAATTATTTGAATTTTATAAAAGGCCAGACCTTAAACTTTGTTACTCATGCCGGTGATTAAGTTTGCCATGCCTCAGGTTTTTTTGTTTAAATTATAGCCTCGCAGGAGGGTGTTGGGTGGTGACTGGAAACCCTGGCTGACTTGTCAGGCATCATCAGCCTGCTGCCTTGACTGTGATATGGATGGAATGGGGCCAAGGTCTCCATGTTTCTTAGTGTTTCTACTTTCTTTATCTTTGACCCTTGTACTGAGGACTGGTTCTTTATCTCTAAGGACACAGATAATAGGCAGCCAAGTTTGCCTGAACAGACTTTTTGGCAGTTTTCAACCATGTTTTCTGGAAGCGAAGAAGAGGGTGGTAAAAAGTCTACCAGTCTTACCGACTGAAACCGTCATCTACAGAGCTGAGTGTTTGGGTGAGTCACTTTTCTTTGGTCCTACCACATTTAGGTAAAATGAAGCTTTTTGGTGTAGTGATACAGTGGGGAATGTTGCAGGTTTTAGAGTAAAGTAGACCAGGGTTTGAGTTTCTTTGCTATAATGGTTCTCACATTTCTTACCTGTAAAATGGGTTGTTTTAAGAAATTATTTATTTAAAAATACATAGTGTAGGGACCAGCACAGTCAAGTGCTCACTATATAGTAGCTACTTTTGTGATGAAAGTGAAGACACTGCAAGCAGAAAAATAGGCAATGGAAATGGACAGAGAATTCACTAAGTAATACAACTGGTGGGAAGCAGAACACTCAACTGCACTTGTAATTAGAGAAATGCAAGCTCAATAATGTGTGCCATTGTTTTTGTTCATTAGATTGGCTAAAAATATACATAAAGTCCATTTTTGGTGAAAGTTTAAGCAAATAGTCATTCTCATATATTTTTATAAAGGCTTTTTGGAAGTTGGTTTGGTAATATCTATTAAATTTTAAATTTGTTATTCTTTAATTCAGCAATTTGTTTCCAGGAATCTGTTCTACATAAATATACTTGAGTATATAAACATATTGTAGTACTGTTTTTCATAGTGAAAACTGGAAACAAATTTACTATATGGACATATTTCTATGGAATTATATGTGTAAAGGCATATTTAGAGTATTGTACCATGATCCTATTTATATTAAAAGAAAGATAATTGTGTGTATGCATTTTATAAATGTATGAAAAGAGGTTTGAGATGATATATTTCACGGTTTACTTTTGGGGGAAGTAGGGTAAGATTAGGGTGAAGAGATGGTTTTGCTTTTCATTCTTTTTCTCCCCACTAATATACTACATATGCTTTTCTTTATTCTTCTAAATCTTTGAATTTTCCTAATGACTATTATAATTTTTTAGCGCCAAAAACCAGGAACAAATATGTACTATTTTTGTATTTGTAAAAACAATTTAACAAAATGGTGAAGATGTGAATTTAGACTATCTGAAAGGCCCTCTGTAGAGGGCCTTGTCTAGACTCAACATCATGGTTGGGTAGAGACAGTAGTTTTTGGGTCTGGAAGGGTGGGAAGAGCTTGTATTTAAGAATCAAAACTTCCACTTCATGGTTTGGGGCTTGGATTTTTGGACCAATAAACCCAAGTGACCCCTTCTGAAGACAGTAGGACTGCATAGGAGAGGTTAACAGGTGTTTCTGTAGTCTTGTCCTATCCAAGGCCCTTATTTTATTTTATTTTTGAGACTGAGTCTCACTCTGTTGCCCAGGCTGGAGTGCCATGGTGGGATCTCAGCTCACTGCAACCTCTGCCTGAGTTCAAGCAATTCTGCTGACTCTGAGTCCTGAGTAGCTGGAATTACAGGCACGCGCCACCACGCCCAGCTGATTTTTGTACTTTTTTAGTAGAGATGGGGTTTCACGATGTTAGCCAGCCTGGTCTTGAACTCCCGACCTCAGGTGATCCACCCGCCTCATCCTCCCAAAGTGTTGGGATTACTGGCTTGAGCCATCCCACCCAGCCAAGGTCCTCTATTTAAAAAAAAAGAAAGGGCTTGGACTTCTTTGAAAGAGGCAAGGCAATCTCTGAGTTGTAGTATCTGAGAGTCCAAGATGGCAGGGCTGGCATAGAACCTTCCAAGTTCTTTCTACCTCTTTGCTTCCTTTCAGGTTAACATGTCGGATTTTGTTTTGTTTTGTTTTTATTTGTTTTGAGGCAGGGTCTCCACTCTGTCACCCAGGCCGGAGTACAGTTGAGCAATCATAGCTCACTGTAGGCTTGAACTCCTGGACTCAAGTTATCCCCTCACCTAAGCCTCCCTAGAAGCTGGGACTATGGGCACATACCACCACCCCAGGCTAATGTTTAAATTTATTTTATTTTGCTAGGCATGGTGACTCATGCCTGTAATCCCAGTACTCTGGGAGGCTGAGGTGGGTGGATCACGAGGTCAGGAGTTTGAGATCATCCTGGCCAACATGGTGAAGCCCCATCTCTAGCAAAAATACAAAAATTAGTTGGGCATGGTGGCATGCACCTATAATCCCAGCTACTCAGGAGGCTGAGGCAGGAGAATAGCTTGAACCCAGGAGGCAGAGGTTGCAGTGGGCCGAGATTGTGCAACTACATTCCAGCCTGTGCGACAGAGTGAGACTCTGTCTCAAAAAAAAATTTTTTTTATTTTTTGAGACGGAGTTTCCCTCTTGTTACCCAGGCTGGAGTGCAATGGCGCGATCTCGGCCCACTGCAACCTCCGCCTCCTGGGTTCAAGCAATTCTCTTGCCTCAGTCTCCTGAGTAGCTGGGATTACAGGCATGCGTCACCATGCCCAGCTAATTTTTTGTATTTTTAGTAGAGATGGGGTTTCACCATGTTGACCAGGATGGTCTCGATCTGTTGACCTCGTGATCCACCCACCTTGGCCTCCCAAAGTGCTGGGATTACAGGCGTGAAAAACAAAATTTTTATTTTTGTAGAGAAAAGGGCTCACTTTGATGCCCAGGTTGACCGTGAACTCCTAGTCTCAGGCAATCCTCCAACCTGAGCCTCCCAAAGTGCTGAGATTACAGACATGAGCCACTGTGCCTGGCCAAGCATGTCAGATTTTTATCAGATATTCTGGATCCCTAATAATGAAATTTTTCTTTAGGTTTTAGGCAGCTTTTTCGGGTTATAAGTACCCACAAACTTCTCTGTAGTTTGCACATTTAGCTCCCCGCACTGTGGACAGTATCTGAGTGAGAAAATAGACAAAACTTCTTAGTGAAGATAGGAATGGAGGCTGACAGAAGGAAAATCCTGTTTTCCTGGGTAACTTACTCCAAATGAAAAGAGGTTTCATGGAGTTAAGAAATGTATCACTCTTGGCTGAGCGCAGTGGCTCATGCCTGTAATCCCAGCACTTTGGGAGGCCGAGGTGGGAGGATCACGAGGTCAAGAGATCGAGACCATCCTGGCCAAAATGAGGAAACCCTGTCTCTACTAAAAATACAAAAATTAGCTGGGCATGGTGGCACACGCCTGTGGTCCCAGCTACTTGGGAGGCTGAGGTGGAAGAATCGCTTGAACCCAGGAGGTGGAGGTTGCAGTGAGCTGAGATTGCGCCACTGCACTCCATCCTGGCGAAAGAGCAAGACTCTGTCTCCAAAGAAAAAGAAAAATGTATCATTAAAGCTGGGTGCGGTGGCTCACACCTGAAATCTCAACACTTTGGGAGGCCGAAGTGGGTGGATCACTTAAAGCCAGGAGTTTGAGATCAGCCTGGCCAACATAGTGAAACTCTGTCTCTACTAAAAATTAGTCAGGCATGGTGGCGTATGCCTGTAATTCCAGCTAGTTGGGTGGCTGAGGCATGTGAATCGCTTGAACCTGGGAGGTGGAGGTTGCAGTGAGCCAAGATCTTGCCACCGTATTTCTAGCCTGGGTGAAGGAGTGAGACTCTGCGTAAAAAAAAAAAAAAAGTATCACTCTAATATCCTTCAGAATTCTCTCGGATTTTTAGATTGTAGTCAGAAGGCGACTGGCACTGAGGTAGTGGCAAAGGTCTGCATGGGGTACAGTGATACATTTCATCATATCACTAGATACTTTTTAAAAAATTGTGATATATGAGAGAGGATGTAATGCATATATATAATTTGAAAAATAATTATGAAAAACAAACCCCATGTACCTTGTACTTGGCTTGAGAACTAGGATATTATAAAAGCTCTGAAGGTCCTAGGGGGTCTGCTAGCATGCAGGTAAAATTTGGCCACTGCACAAAGATACCTTGCCAAGGGGAGAGGAATTTGCCTCCTAAAGAATGGAGCTTTTTCCTTGGGTACAAAGACACTATCTGCTGCTAGACCGAGGGTCCATAAGGCTGGTTCCTACCCAATGGATATGTCATTTTTCTAATTATCTGGTTAGAAAACAATTCTTTTTTCTAGTTCATATAGAGGCTTCTTATAGGCTACTGGACTGTGTTTCTGGGGGTGCGGGGGTCACACCTGTGTGTTCTGTACCCTCCACTATAAGTAACAGTTATATTGAATTTTGGATTAATGTTTGTTATTTTTCTTTAGTGTTTTACCATGTATATGTGCATCTCTAAATTATCTACCTATCTCTCCCTCTACTCCAAAATGCCATTTGGCATTGTTTAGTGTTTCTTTTTTTTTTAATTGCTGTAACAAATTAACCACAAACTTAGTAGCTCAAACAACCCAGAATTGTATGTGGGAGGCGATGGGTATAAGGGAAATTGTACTTTCTGCTCAATTTTGCTGTGAACCTAAAACTGCTCTAGAGTTTTGTTTTTTGTTTCTTTGCTTTTCTCGGGTGTGTGTGTGTGTGTGTGTGTGTGTGTTTAAAGGCATTAGGTACTAGCATTAGGGGAAGCTTGGAACTCTCTGTACTATCTTTTGCAACTTTCCTGTAAGCCTAAAGTTATTCTAAAATAAAAAAGTTTATTTAAAAATTTTTGAAAACCATAATACAAATTTATTATCTTATAGTTCTGTAGGTCAGAAGTCTGACATGGGTCTAACTTGGCTAAAATCAGGCTCCTAGAGGAATATCTAGGGGTCTAAAGGAAAGAATCTGCTTGCCTTTCCTACCTATCTGTTTGCTTGTCTTTCCTACCTTCTAGAGGTTGTCCACATTCCCTGATCATGGCCTTCATTCATTTTCAAAGCCAGCAATGGCAGATTGAGTTATTCTCATATCCAGTCTCTCCAGTGTCTTCTGCCTTCCTCTTCTATTTACAGAGGCCCATGTGATTACATTGGGCCCACCCAGATAATCCAGGATGATCTCTCCATCTCTGGGTCAGTTGAGCAACTTTAATTCTGCCTAGAACCTTTCTTTCCATTTGTTATGTGCCCTAATATATTCACAGGTTCTAGGGAATAGAATGTGGACATCTTTGAGACATCATTATCCTGCCTACAATAGCCATCTTTATGTACAACTTTGCCACATGCTTGTTCTGGCCCCAACTAAAAATGATTGTCCTTTTTGTTTCTTTTCTACAAATAGCTCACTCCATATCTGCCAAGTCTGAGTTGCTTTCTGAGCAAGTGGAAAGAAGCAATATCCTTATTCTGATATAGTAATAATGTCCCATAATAGTATTAAACAATTGAATTAAATGTATTTTCTGGACATTAACTCAGCATTTATCAATAGCTCCAAATTGAGTTTCAGGAGCAAACTAGGGCAATTCAGAGACTACCACTTACGCTTCCTGTTGTTTCCAACTTTTATTTTTATTTATTTATTTATTTTTTTGAGACGGAGTTTCGCTCTTGTTACCCAGGCTGGAGTGCAATGGCGCGATCTCGGCTCACCACAACCTCTGCTTCCTGGATTCAAACAATTCTCCTGCCTCAGCCTCCCAAGTAGCTGGGACTACAGGCACGCGCCACCATGCCCAGCTAATTTTTGTATTTTTAATAGAAACGGGGTTTCACCATGTTGACAAGGATGGTCTCGATCTCTTGACTTTGTGATCCACCTGCCTCGGCCTCCCAAAGTGCTGGGATTATAGGCGTGAGCCACTGCGCCTGGCCTGTTTCCAACTTTTAAAATTCCAAAATGAAAACATATATAAGAAAGGCAGGAAACAGAAATATACAAAAAGAAAAATTCTAAAGTAAGCACCTGTGTAGCCACTACCCAATTAGAGAGAGAGAAAATGGACAACACCTCTTCCTCAAAGCTCACCTTATGGCTCTTGTCTGTCACATACTGCCTCTCTCAGAGATAAATCACCATCCTGACTTTTACAGTAATCAGTTGCTTGGCAGCTTACTACTCTGCATTAGTCCATTTTCACGCTGACATACCCGAAACTGGGCAATTTACAAAAGGAACAGGTTTATTGGACTTACAGTTCTACATGGCTGGGGAGGTCTCACAATCATGGTAAAAGGAAGGAGGAGCAAGTCCTTCCTTTTTTTTTTTGGTTTTCTGTTTCTGCCATTCTATGTGGATGGCAGCAGGCAAAAAGAGAGCTTGTGTAGGAAAACCTATAAAGGCACCAGATCTTGTGAGACTTACTGACTATCACGAGAACAGCATGGAAAAGACCTGTCCATGTGATTCAGTTACCTCCCACTGGGTCCCAACCACAACATGTGAGAATTCAAGATGAGATTTGGGTGGGGACACAGCCAAAGTATATCATACTCTATAATTTTACCACCTATGTATGTACCTCTGACTTGTTTTGAATTTATACTACTACTAGCAATGAAAGAGATTCTGTTGTTCCACATCACATAGTTTTACCACCTATGTATGTACCTCTGACTAGTTTTGTCTGATTTTGAACTTTATAAAAGAGCCATTCTGTAGGTTTCTTTTGTATTTTATTTACCTTCTTTATTGGTATGATTCAACCATGCAGTTACCTGAAGGTCTAAGTTTATTCATTCTTTTGTTTTTCTTTCCTTCTTTTTTTTGAGATGGGGTCTGGCTCCGTTGCCCAGGCTGAAGTGCAATTGTGAGGTCTTGGCTCACTGCAGCTTCCACCTCCCAGGCTCAAACCATCCTCCTATCTCAGCCTCCTGAGTAGCTGGGATTACAGGTGCATGCCACCGTGCTCAGCTAATTTTTGTATTTCTTGTAGAGATGGGGTTCTGCCAATGTAAAAAATGCAGCTATGAACTTTCAGGGTGTTGCCTTGTTGCACAGGCTGGAGTGCAGTGGTGCAATAATAGCCCACCCTAACCTTGAACTTCTGGCCTCAAATGATCCTCCTGCCTCAGCCTCCTGACTAGCTGGTATTATAGGTGTAAACCACTATGCCTTTTTTTTTTTTTGAGACAGGGTCTCTGCTTGCTGGAATATGCCTGCAGTGGCCCAAAAGAAAAAAAAAAAAAAGAGAGAGACAGGGTCTCACTCTGCTGCCCAGGCTGCAGTGTGGTGTTGTGATCATGGTTTACTGCAGCCTTGAATTCCCGGGCTGAAGTGATTCTCCCATCTCAGCAACCTCATTCCCCATCATTTTTTTTTTTTTTTAGAGATAGGATCTTGCTATGTTGCCCAGGCTGGTCTTAAACTCCTGGCCTTTAGTGATCCTTTTGCCTTGGCCTCCCAAAGTGTTGGGATTATAGGTGTGAGCCACCATGCCCAGCTCTGTGACTTTTAATTAGGAATTAATAAGTAATTATTTATTGTAATTACTCACATTTGAATTTATTTCTGCTATCTAATGTTTTACTATTTGTCCTTCTTTAAAAATTTCTTATCCATTTTCAAAATTAAGATCTTCCCATTTTATTTTATTCCCCAATAAACTGGAAGTTATATATACTATTTAATTTCTTTTACTGATTATGTAGAAATTTTAAAATGTATATTTAACTCAACAAATTATAAACTTATTTAGCCTCCTCTTAAACAATACAAAGCCTTCTAATACTTTAAGTTACTCTCTCACAACAGTATATGTAAAATTATTGAACAACAGAATTTAGACATTGTTGCTATTATTTTGGATAGTGTTGAGATTTATAGCAAACATGCAAACAGTTTTCTTTATTCACCATTACTTCTTGCATTTTGGATCTTCCTCTGGAAGATGGTAATTTTCTCTTAACATTTTGATACATTGCAGTATCTTCTAGCTTTCATTTTATTATTGAAAGGTTGGTTGACAGCCAAATTATCTTTTATTTGAAGATTACTGTGTTTTCTTTCTTTCTTTTTTTGAGAGTCTCACTCTGTCACCCAGGCTGGAGTGCAGTGGCGTGATTTTGGCTCATTGCAATGTTCACCTCCCAGGTTCAAGTGATTCTCCTGCCTCAGCCTCCAGAGTAGCTGGGATTATAGGTGTGTGCCACCACATGCTAATTTTTGCATTTTTAGTAGAGATGGGGTTTTGCCATGTTGACCAGGCTGGTCTCAAACTCCTGACCTCAGGCAATCTGCTCACCTTGGCCTCCCAGAGTGCTGGGATTACAGGCATGAGCTACCACACTGGTCTAATGTCTTTTCTTGCTGCCTAATTTTAAGATCCCCTTTCTTTCTCTCTGAGTACTAATCTTTATGTGTGCATTTTATACTTTTCACCATGGCAACTTTTGGTCTTCTAGAATTTAGGATATTTACCATCAATTCTGGAAAATGTTCAGCCACTATTTCTTTGAATATTGCCTTTCCTCCATTCTGTTATCTCCTTCTTGAACTCTAAGTAGATATTTGTTGAATCCTTATGCATGCCATTGCAGGTTTTATTTTGAAGTTATTTCATCATGTTTTTAGTAATATTTAATCATTAAATTTTATTTTAGGTCATATTCCTTGTAACTGTATCTGTACGATTTTCAGAGATTATTTACTTTTGCTTATACTAGGTGCCTGGGGGCACTAAAGCTAACACTTTAATAATTTTCAGCTTGGGGTTTTCTAGGTCACACAGGTAGTGTGAAATTCTAGCCCTTTATAGTGTGCTTGCAAACTTGTTTAGGAATTCTCAGTTTTCTTCCTTTTTTACAACTCCATCCACAGTTAAGGTGGAGACAGATATCTTTACCTTTCACTCTGTAAGTCAGGTTTTTTGTCTGTTTTTTTTTTTTTTTTCTTTTCTTTTCTTTTCTTCTTTTTTTCCTGCTGAGGATGCAGCCCTTCAAAGTTCCTAGCTTGAGGAGGTCACCAATTTGATATCTGGGCAATATGCCAGAGACCCACAGAATAGGGATGCCTTATTCAACCTAGGTGAGGTCACAGAAGGCTTCTTAAAGTGACACTGTCTGGGCATCTAAGCTGAATTTAGGCTTATTAAGCAATAAGTGGGAGTATGCCATGGCATGGCATAATTACACTGTCTTTTTTTTTTTTTAAAGGCCGGAGAGCGCCCGTGGGTCTTGAACCACGCAGAGTGGTTGTTTTCCACCGTAGAAAGCATTGTCGAAGTAACTGCTGAGCTAAAGCCGGCCCTACACTGTCTTTACCATAGGATAGGAATCATGTCTAGCATACTCACTGCTGTCTCTAGCACTTAGCACAGAACCTGGCACCTATTGTTAGATGCTCAGTACGTATTTTTTGATTTATGAGTAAGAAGTATCAGTGTTTCCAAGTAGAGAAACAATACATATAAAGCAAACAAGAAGAAACAAATAGCAAAACTTTATTAAAAAGCAATAGATTTAAACTATGGGCTATTTCTTTTTTCTTTTTCTTTTTCTTTTTTTTTTTTGAGATGGAGTTTCGCTGTTGTTACCCAGACTGGAGTGCAATGGTACAATCTCGGCTCACCACAACCTTTGCCTTCTGGGTTCAAGCAATTCTCTTGCCTCAGCCTCCTGAGTAGCTGGGACTACAGGTGCGCACCACCATGCCCAGCTAATTTTTGTATTTTTAGTAGAGACGGGGTTTCACCTTGTTGACCAGGATGGTCTCGATCTCTTGACCTCGTGATCCACCTGCCTTGGCCTCCCAAAGTGCTGGGATTATAAGCGTGAGCCACCACACCCAGCTTCTTTTTTCAATGAGTGCTTTTACTGTACTCTTTTTTAGTAAGACACTTATGTAGGATAGAGTGCTACACTGTAACAGGGATAAGCCACGTGCATAATAACTATCACATTACTCTCTGTGTACAAAAGTTGGTTTCTTTCCATGAAGGCCTAAAATAGGGATGTACACCTTCATGTTTTGGAGCCTCTCTGCTGATGAGCTTGGGGTTTCAGAAAACATTAAATGTTTCTGCAAATTGTTATATACTTAAGTGGAAAAGAGCAGTTAGGTGTAAATGCTTGGCAAAAAATACAGCTGTAGTTAGATTGCAATCTGCAAACGTTGGCATTGTCAGTTTGCCACAGAAAATGTGGTCTAAATGAAAGGTGCGTGAGGGCTGGGAATGGTGGCTCACGCCTGTAATCCCAGCACTTTGCGAGGATCTCTTGAGCTCAGGAGTTAGAGGCCAGCCTGGGCAATGTAGTGAGAATATGTCTCTACAAAAAAAAAAAAAAAATATATATATATCTGGGCATGGTGGCACATGCATGTAGTCCCAGTTACTGAGGAGGCTGAGGTGCGAGGATTATTTGAGCCTGGGATATCGAGGCTGCAGTGAGCTATGATTGGGTCACTGCACCCCCAACCTGGGAGACAAAGCAAGATCCTATCTCGAAGGGGAAAAAAGTTGGTTCCTCTAAGGAACAGGTAGGGTATGCAAAAATGGTGAGACCCTCCTGCCTGGATTTCTGGTTAAAAAGGCAGCAGAAAGTTCATGATTTTGTGAAGGTCATAATCTGAGAACTTTTTTCTTTCCCCTATATGGATACAGGCAGAGGGAAGAAGAGAAAGGGATATTTATTCTTTGTTATTTATTTATTTTTAATAATAAAAGTTCTGATTGTGGAAAAAATATCTAGCTGATTATAGAAATTTAATAAAGAAGCCAAAACAAATTAGTCTTATAGCTGATGATAGTATTGGCTTACATTATTTAGATACACTGAATTCTAAGTTATCAGGCCAAATATGTGGACTTGGCAAAGATAAGACTTACTGTCAATTGTTGCAGCTCTCCAAACTGGATGTGACTGGCACCAGTGGCTATGTGAGTGAATATAGAAGCTGAAATCCACATTGTTAACTTTGGTTCTATTCCACAAAAATATTTTATTCCAGAGATATGTAAGATGAAGCTTTTCTAGGGCAGAGATCATGATCATGTACCCTAGCACAGTGCCTGACCCATAATAGCTGCCCGAGAAATATGTGTTGAATAAGTAAATGGCACAAAGGTTATTCTGGGTTGCTAAGATCAGAACAGTATTTGCCATTATTTTAGAGGTTGGCGTAGGATTTGAACACCCTGGAACAGTTTCTTCTCTTTGCAGCTAGTAATATTTTTCTGTTTATGAAAAATACACATTCTTGCCCACTGGCACAATGGGCCTGGGCAAAGTGGCACAGACTGATTTCCATTCCATTTCTTGGAAGAGCCAGCAATACATCTCTCTAATGGTGAGTTGCTTCTCCTTTATCAGAGGATTTAAATTTGATGTTTTTTTTGTCCTTCCTTTCTTCCCAATAGAGACTGCCTCAAGAAAGAGAAAATTAATTAGCTGAGTTTGACTGAATTTGATAGCATTTTACTGCTCTGTGAGAATCAGAGTAGTCACAATCTCATCTCCATATGCACTTGTTTTTCTCTGTACACAAAACTGCATGTAATGATGGCTCTCCATCCCTATTTATACTTATATCTTGTTCTACAAATGGGCAGTGTAAATATGCTTCGAACTGGGGAAGAGGTGTGCTTGTATTTATTGTAAGTTACAAGGTTCAGAAGATCTTAAAAATAGCACTGAGAGTTTAGGGAATTCTTATTGGTTCTTTGGTTTTCATTTACAAATAGACAAAGATTTGGCAACTTCTGTCAAGACAGGTTTTCACACCGGGCCTCATTCCTAGCAATAAAATTCTAGATATGAAAGCAGGACATTTTCAGATTGTTCTCTAGGCCTCTGAAAGCAGTATAGGAGAGGGAAGTGAAAAAATTGTAGTATATGGCTTATAAAGCACTTATATGCATACCAATTCATTTAAGTCTTGGTTTCCCTACTTGACTAACAGGGACTCTAGGGTACAACTAAGTTAAGTAACTTGATCAGAGTCACAAGTCTAGTAACAGGGCTAGAACTGGAACTTGGGATGTTTGTTGTATCTATTTTAATTTTAAGTGACAGAATTTGGCTTTTAAGGGACAGAATTTGGCTCTTGCTGGCTAGGGTGGCTCCAGTTTCTTATTAACATTGTATTAAAAAAGATAAGGCAGCCTTGACTGACCACAAGTTAATCTATATCCTAGTACTCTAACAGCCTTGCTCAGGGAGATCAATAAGGGTAAGGAGGACAGGTGATTAAAAGTTTCCTTATTGATGGTACAAGAGATGGGCTCAACATCCTGCTACATCTGGAAAAGCTGAATTCAATCAAACTCATGTAAAGGAGGGAAGAACCCATTTGCATTCTCTGTGAATAGTGATGGCATTATTAGCCATCTGTCAAGTGACTAAAGAGAGAGCTACTTCCTGACTTCGTCTCATTCCAGTGACACTGGTGACCTTGGGGAGGCAGATATGCTGAGGTCCTCCCTGGCATCTAGAATGCAGTCCAGGTTGGAGCAAAGATATATTCCTTCTATAGTGATGTGACTCATGACCTTATTTCTGAGAGGCATAATGCCTCTGTTTGGATGAGCTGGATAGAATGCTTGTTTTCCAGGCTTAAAAGTCATCTTGCAAATAAATAACAATCTTATCTCAAGTAGTAATTTTCCTGGCATGACCTCATCTCTGGAGGGAGTCTTAGAAACAAAAATGCTTGGTCTATACCAGTCACTTCTCATCCCGGCCAAATAGCTATCTGAAATGCTATTTATGACTTTATTGATATATTGAAATGTGACATCTCCATCTACAGGTAAAGAATTTGTAGGAAAAAAGAAAAAGTAATGTAATTTTGAAGTATTCTTTTAGTGAGGTATTCTCTCATCTCTGTAACAAACAGAACTGCTGTTCTTTGCTGTAGGGGCTGTCCTGTGCCATAAAGCATGTTTACCAGCATCCTTGACCTTCACCCAACAGCCAATAGCACCTCTCTAGTGCTGACAATAAAAAATGTCTGCATTTAGCAGATCCTGAATTCAGAAAAAAAAAATAAAAAAAAAAAACCAAAAATGTCTGCAGACATGGTCCCGCAAGAAGTGTTGCAGTTGAGAACTAGTTTTTTTTTTTTGAGACGGAGTTTTGCTCTTGTTACCCAGGCTGGAGTGCAATGGCGTGATCTCCACTCACCGCAACCTCCGCCTCCTGAGTTCAAGCAATTCTCCTGCCTCAGCCTCCCTAGTAGCTGGAATTACAGGCGTGCCCCACCATGACCAGCTAATTTCTGTATTTTTAGTAGAGACGGGGTTTCACCTTGTTGACGAGGATGGTCTCGATCTCTTGACCTCGTGATCCACCCGCCTCGGCCTCCCAAAGTGCTGGGATTATAGGCGTGAGCCACCGCGCACCTGGCTGAGAACCAATTTTAACTGAAGCAACAAGATAGAACAAAAGAAACCAACTTCTTCCCTCTACCCACCAAAAAACTAAAGTGATATCTGAGATAGACTTCCTCTAGTAATTTCACAGGATTTAGATAAAGCAGGTAGATTAAATACTCACAGTTATTTAGTTATAAAAGGCCAAGTCAGAATTATTGAGGACAGTATCTTTGGAGACTGTTGCTGGTAAGCTGTGATTCTTACCACAGGTGCCTAGCTGCCTTTTACCTCAAGTTGAGGGAGTGGGCCTTCAGTGGAACTGCTCAGAGCACTTGACCTGTATCTCTTGTAGTCCGAGGGGCACAGTGGGCCTGTGTCTGACTCCCACAAGCTGGTGGCTGTCTCGGCAGCAGAGCAGAGGAATGTTAAATCTGCACCGAGATTTGCCTGTACTCCGAAGTTTATTTGGGCAAGAAATGTGCGAGGACTTCCTGTGGACCAGGTGTGAGCCATACAGAGCTGCCACTAGGCTAACACAGCAGCACCATGAGAAAAAAGCTCTCCTTTGTCCAGACACTGCTTCCCTCTACTGGGAAGTAGTTGTAACTTAGTTTGGACAAAACACTTTACTGCCACCTGCTGGAAAATCATCAAAATAAATAACATACAAAACTACAGTGAGGATGATGTGAATGGCACCCCTAGGATACAGAGTGCACAACCTTGTACCACAATAAAGGGTCACATGCAAATGGATAATGTGAGAGTCATCTCAGATCCTATATGACAGGGCCTTTACAGAGATGCTCAGGTTTCAACAGACAAGTAGTTGGAGGTGCGTGGAAAGAACTACCAAAATAGCTTTATGTTTAGATCAACAGAATTATAGAGGAGAAACCGCCAGAGAAGCAGGATAGTGGTGGTCTCTGAGGTATCCATGAAAAAAAAAAAAGTCAGCTTTAAGCCTCTACCATGCCCAGGGAGTGTCAAACCATCATACAAAGTTAACAAATTTCCTGCTCCATTATTTTCCCTGCCCCCCAATATTTGGTTCTGGTTAGTTAGGCTGGGAGGAGAAAGACTAGGCAGGTTAAAGATGACTATGGTCCTCTCTTTAAGGCAAGCAGTGAGACAACTGTTCCCAGCTGAAAAAAGAGGAAAAGGTTTCACTCTCTGTGACTCAGTGACCATAGGACTCTATTCCTAAGGAGACCACAGAACCCCTAAAAACTCATGGAAGCTGAGTTTTAAATTAGGTACATGACAGGTCTACTCCCACCACACAAGTTGAAAGGCATGGCAAAAGGTAAAACATAAAAGTTTGTGTTTGTTTGTTTTGAATTATAGCCCATGTGCCCCCTGTGTTGAACATACTGGTTTTATATTAAGTGGGATCTAGAGACTGTATCTTCCAGGGATATGTTCTAGAGTTTTTCAAGGGGAAAATGGTCATTGATCAATTCATTTGTTTTTTGAGATCCCATACTTTGGGGGTAGGGTATTAAAAAATGCAAGGGAGGCTGGGGGCGATGGCTCACACCTGTAATCCCAGCACTTTGGGAGGCCGAGGTGGGAGGATCACTTGAGTCCAGGAGTTCAAGACAGGCCTGGGCAACACAGGGAAACCCATCTCTAAAAAAATTAAAAAAAATTAGCAGGGCATGGTGGCATGTACTTGTAGTCCCAGCTACCCAGGAGGCTAGGGTAGGAATGTTGCTGGAGGCCAGGAGGTTGAGGCTGCATTGAGCCATAATCCAGACACTGCATCTCAGCCTGGGTGACAGAACAAGACCTTGTGTGTCTCTCTCTCTCTCTCTCTCTCTCTCTCACACACACACACACACACACACACAAAGAAAAAAGACTGGGTATGGTGGTTCACGCCTGTAATCCCAACACCTTGGGAGGCCGAGGTGGGTGGTGGATTATTTGAGGTCAGGAGTTCGAGACCAGTCTGGCCAACATAGTGAAACCCTGTCTCCACTAAAAATACAAAAATTAGCCATGTGTGGTAGTGCACGCCTGTAGTCCCAGCTGTTTGGGAGGCTGAGGCAGCAGAATCATTTGAACCTGGGAGGCGGTGGTTGCAGTGAGCCGAGATCATACCATTGTACTCCAGCCTCCTGGGTGACAGAATGAGATCGTCTCCCAAAAAAAAAAAAAAAAAAGAAGCAAGGGAGTCCTTCCCTCTGGGAGCTTGTATCTTAGGTTTCATACTCTGAGCAAAGTATTTATTATAGTCAGTTATGTCAACAAGAGCCTGTGTTGCATGTGTGGGGCAGGTTAGGGCGGGTATTAACTCTCTTCGGATTTACTCTCTTATGACTTTTACTCACTTATGATAAAGCTTTTGAAGCAATCATATTGCTCCTGTTCTCCAAGCATGGAATCACAGGTAAACCTTTCATTTAAGATATTTAGACTGAGTTGGGTGGATCACCTGAGGTTGAGAGTTTGAGACCAACCTGACCAACATGGAGAAACCCCATCTCTACTAAAGATACAAAAATTGGCCGGGCATGGTGGCACATGCCTGTAATCCCAGCTACACCGGAGGCTGAGGCAGGAGAATCCTTGAACCTAGGAGGTGGAGGTTGCAGCGAGCCAAGATTGCACCACTGCACTCCAGCCTGGGCAACAAGAGGGAGACTCTGTTTAAAAAAAAAAAAAAAAAAAAAGAGAGAGAGATACAAGGCTAAATGCACAGGCTGCATCTTCTCTGGGATGCTCTGAAATCAGGCTCTGTTGATCCTGTTTGGCAGATTTGGAAATTTATATTTCACTTCACTCAAGTTTAATCAGGCTCTGAGAAATTAATTTGAATAAAACAACTTAATTCAATCCAGTGAACAGTGTCTGATTTATAAACCATGGTATGAATTGACAAAAACTGTATAGCTAGTATAACTTGTCCTAGACACGTGCCTTGGACAATTGCTTCTTACTGGGTGTATGGATTTATTCTAGAGGATGGAAAGGCTACTGGCTGAGTTTGAAATCAGAGTATAGGCCTTTGTATGCTCTTAAAGGATATCTAGAATATCCAGAATTTAGGTTTGCTAGGATATAAACTCCACAAAGGCAGGGATTTACTGATGTATCTTAAGAGACTGGAATACAGCATTCACTAAGTATCTGTTGAATGAGTGAATATGCATTAAGATTTAACTGCCCTGAGTATTGGTCCTGGTCATTAAAATCAGTTACCTTGTTCCTGGGCAGAGTGTGAGCCTCACAGAACATTCTTATTCAGCTTCTGCTGGTTTTAGACTCTTTGTAGATCCCACCCCTCTGTTATGACAGCATCACTGGGCATGTGACACTTAGGTTACAGATAGTTTAGACTCTCTGATGAAATGTGGAGCCACTCTGGCCTCTGTAGCCCATTTACAGATCATTTCATAGGGTGACTTTATTTTTTTCAAATCTCGTCCCAAGTTCAATGAGGGTTCTTGTCTTACATTTTCCAGGTTACTGACTTCCAGCTCAGGCAGGTGGGGAGCAACTGAATTGTGGTGGCTGCTATTTTTTGTGCAGGCATTGATCTACAGGTCGTCAAGGAATTCAAATTGAAAATCCCAAAGCCCTTAAAAGACTATAAAAAGAAGAGATTGGCTGAAAAATCATTTTTGTGAGCTCAAGGGAGTTGTAGGGTTGGTCTGTGTAGCTATGCAAACAAGTACCAACTTTTTTTTTTTTTCTTATTTTTCTCTCAGCAAAGATGATGGGAACAAGAAACAACTTTTAAGTTCAGAGAGCTTATTCTTTCTCCCTTCTTTCAGCTCTGCCTCCGCAGCTGGCTGATTTTAGTATACGAAGCTCCTTGTGAGCCCGCAGCCTATTGACTTCCACAATTCCAGACTGTCTCGGCACCAAGCCTCAGTGTTCTGTCTGGAGTCTAGGTCAGGTTCTTAGGGTGGGGGCGGGCAGGACGCAGGTGCACCCCCGTAGTCCCGGATGTAACCTACATCTCTGGGAATGGGATCCAGAGTCACTGCTTAGGCCTCCCTCGCTGTTTTCTGTTCAGGTCTCTGTGCTCCTCACCTGGATTTGGGCGCCCTGGGTTTTTCTGGCCGCCTGCAGGGAGGGACATGGCTCCCTCAGCAGAGACCAGAAGCGATCTCTGTGTTCCGGATTTTCCCTTTATCCTTCCTACGTCCTCTCCCCAGTGTCCTCTCTGCTTCCCAACCTCCCCAAAGCGATGACCCCCACAACCCGCCCCGGGCCCACGCCTGGCTGCTCGCACCCTAACTCAGGAGCCCAAATTTGGGGTGGGAGAGGAACTGCATGCCTCAAGCCCGATGGAACCAGGGCCGCGGCCCGGGACGCTGTGGGGGTGGGGACAGTCGCCGCCCCGCCCCCGCCCGCGTCCCGCCCCCTCCCACGCACGTCACATCCGGCCCGGCCTCCGCCAGCCGCTCTCCTCCCGCTGGCCGTTAGGGAGGTTGTGCACCTCAGCCGCCGCTTCAGTCGACACTCCCGCCGTCTCTTCCGCGTCTCCGCCGCCACCACCGCCGGGGGTATCCGGGGGTCGCTTACCGGGCTGGCCCCGCGCCACAGCCGTCGCTTTAACCTCCCGTCAACGGCCGCCCCAGGAAGAGGCTTCCCGGCCGCGGAGCCACTTGGGGCCTCAGTTCTCGCTCTCTTGCAGTCGCCGCGGGTCCTGGAGAAGCGGCTGCGGCCAGGGAACGGGGCTTCGTGGTTCCAACGGTAGGTAAACGGGCGGGTGCCCGGATCTGCGCATGCGCGGGTTGCAGGTCGCCGCAGACCTTCCAGTCCTGCTGCACCCCCAGAGTCGCCTCCCACCCGCGCCTGCTCCCGGGTGTTGCGTTTCGGGGTGTGGAGGACTCCAGCAGGTGGGGCGTTCCGTGGAGAGGGCCCCCTTTCCGCTGGAGAAAGAGGAAAATGAAGCCATGCCCCCTGGCTACTGGGGGGTGTGGCAGCCTTGGATTTGCAAAGGCTGCAGTGCCTTGAGCGGGAGTGCCAGTCACCTCCCAGCCCCTCTAGAGATGGCGCGACACCCCATGTTTCTTTGCTGACCTCTCCTGCCCGCTGGCGCTGTGCCTCTTCCCCGCCCACTTCCGTCATGCTGGGCAGTGAAGTTGATGTAGAATTAAAAGGAGTGTGGTTTATTCTGGGCTCTATTGCGCCCCTTTTTAAGGTCACGTGAGATGAGTGGTTGCGGACTTCCTTAAATCGCTCCGAGAATATAGCCAAAATTGGGCTGATGATGCACTGGGGCCTTGTCTAGAATGCACTCTGGATAGGCCAGGCTGGAGGGGGACACTTTGTACAGCATTTCACATGGCAGCCTATTTTCCTAGATGAGGTTGTAGGCACTGAAACCGGTTGGCACATTTGCGCAGTGGGAAACTGTTAAGCCCATTTTCTTTATAATCGGTTAAAACCAAATTAACTTTTAGAAAGACGGTGCATTATTTCATTTGGTTCCACGTTTCTCCTGCTGATCAGTGAAAAAGTTGGGCGTTTACCTTATTCTGAAGGAGCTAATAATCTAAAATGGTAGCCGGAATTGTTACCATTATTGTAGACTATTAACATTAACTGGTGTGCACTTGTTTATAGAGACAGACATTAAAGGGTGGTTTTGAATTATTTGTCTTTCTGCAGCTGGGTAAGTGTGAGGCTGTTTTCAACTCTCCTTTTTGGGTAACCTTGAAATGCTTGTTGGCCTGGTTTTCTCACAGGTAGTGTGCATTTACTAGGTGCTTGATGGAATTGAACGAACTGATAATTATTTGTATATCCATTGGGAGCCCCTTCTTACCTTTTTTTTTTTTTTTTTTCTTGAGACAGAGTTTCGCTCTGTAGCCCAGGCTGGAGTGCAGTGGCGCGATCTCGTTTTACTACAGCCTCCGCCTCCCGGGTTCAAGCGATTCTCCTGGCAGCCTCCTGAGTAGCTGGGATTACAGGCGCTCGCCACCACGCCCGGCTAATTTTTGTATTTTTGGTAGAGACGGGGTTTCACCATGTGGGCCAGGCTGGTTTCGAACTTCTGACATCAAGTGATCCGCCCGCCTCTGCCTCCCATAGTGCTGGGATTACAGGCGTGAGTCACTTTGCCTGGCGCCCTTCTTACTTTCTTAATCCATACTTCTTTTAAAATTGGAGTAATAATTTCTCCAATTTAATTTTATTACAAACTTAGACACCTGGGTGACTCAGCTTAAGTTCTTGGAAAATGTAGAAGGGCATATTGCAGTGGCATAATTCGTTGGGTGGTGTAAATGTTAGTGTGTTTTTATTAGAATGTCATCGTTTTAGGACAGAAAATGACTGAAATGAATATATTGACTTTTCACTGTTACCCCACCAATAAAATAACTGCTTTTATAATCTTATGAATAAGCTCACTCCATCTCTGCATAACTCCTCCATCATCGTATACAAATTTTAAATTTGGGGACTATAATAGTATAAATTTTTGTTTGTTTGTTTGTTTGTTTTTTGAGATGGAGTCTCACTCTGTTGCCTAGGCTGGAGTGCAGTGGCGCAATCTTGGCTCAGTGCAACCTCCACCTCCTAGGTTCAAGTGATTGTTCTGACTTAACTTCCTGAATAACTGGAACTACAGGTGCATGCCACTGTGCCCAACTAATTTTTGTATTTTTTGTAGAGACGGGGTTTTGCCATGTTGCCCAGGCTGGTCTCAAACTCCTTACCTCAGGTGATCTGTCTGCTTCTGCCTCCCAAAATGCTGGGATTACAGGAGTGAGCCACCTTGCCCAGCCTTAGGTTCAAAAAAATTTTTTTTTTTTTTTTGAGGCGGAGTTTTGGTCTTACATCCAATCTGGAGTGCAGTGGCATGATCTCAGCTCACTGCAACCTCTGCTTTCTGGTTTCAAATGATTTTGTTGCCTCAGCCTCCCAAGTAGCTGGGCTTATAGGCACTTGCTGCCATGCCCGGCTAATTTTTGTATTTTTAGTAGAGATGGGATTTCACCATGTTGGCCAGGCTGGTCTTGAACTGTTGACCTAGTGATCCGCCTGCTTTGACCACTGCCCCTAGCTTTTTTTTTTTTTTTTTTTTTTTTTCTCGAGATGGAGTTTTGCTCTTATTGTCCAGGCTGGAGTGCAACGGAGTGATCTTGGCTCACTGCAACCTCCGTCTCCCGGGTTCAAGTGATTCTCCTGTCTCAGCCTACCCAATAGCTGGGATTACAGGCATGGGCCACCACACCTGGCTAATTTTGTTTTTTTAGTAGCGACGGGGTTTCTCCATGTTGGTCAGACTGGTCTTGAACTCCTGACCTCAGGTGATCTGCCCACCTTGGCCTCCCAAAGTGCTAGGATTACAGGGGTGAGCCACACCCAGCACGTTCAATTTTTTTGAGGAATTACCTTACTGCAGAGCATCTGCACCATTTTATATTCCCACTAGCAATGTACAAGGATTCTAGTTTCTCCACATCCTTGCCAACAGTTATTGTTTGTTGGTTGGTTTGTTTGACAGCCTTTTTGGATTTTATTGTGTTTTTGATTTACATTTCTCTGAAGGCTAGTGACAGACTTCTTACTGACCTTTGGTTTATCTTCTTATTCTTTTTTTTTTGAGACGGAGTTTCGCTCTCGTTACCCAGGCTGGAGTGCAATGCTGCGATCTTGGCTCACTGCAACCTCTGCCTCCTGGGTTCAGGCAATTCTCCTGCCTCAGCCTCCCGAGTAGATGGGATTACAGGCACATGCCACCATGCCCAGCTAATTTTTTGTATTTTTAGTAGAGACGGGGTTTCACCATGTTGACCAGGATGGTCTTTATCTCTTGACCTTGTGATCCACCCACCTCGGCCTTCCAAAGTGCTGGGATTACAGGCTTGAGCCACCGTGCCCGGCCTAGTTCTTGACTAGAAATATATTTGTACCAAGAACTTACTTCCATCACATCAGTGTTACGAAGGTGCATGCATTAAGACTATATTTTCATCAATGAATTCATTCTTTTTTTTTTTTTTTTTTTTGAGACGAGTCTCGCTCTGTTGCTCAGGCTTAGTGCAATGGCATGATCTTGGCTCACTGCAACCTCTGCCTCCCGAGTTCAAGCCATTCTCCTGCCTCGGCCTCCCAAGTATCTGGGATTTCAGGTGCCTGCCACCACGCCCAGCTAACTTTTGTATTTTTAGTAGAGACAGGGTTTTACCATGTTGGCCAGGGTGGTCTTGAACTCCTGACCTCACATGATCTGCCCGCCTCAGCCTCCCAAAGTGCTGGGATTACAGGCATTAACCACTGCACCTGGCCTTTTTTTTTTTTTTTTTTTAAAAACAGGGATGGAGGCTGGGCGCGGTGGCTCAAGCCGGTAATCCCAGCACTTTGGGAGGCCGAGGCAGGTGGATCACGAGGTCAAGAGATCGAGACCATCCTGGTCAACATGGTGAAACCCCGTCTCTACTAAAAATATAAAAAAATGAGCTGGGCATGGTGGCGCGTGCCTGTAATCCCAGCTACTCAGGAGGCTGAGGCAGGAGAATTGCCTGAACCCGGGAGGCGGAGGTTGCGGTGAGCCGAGATCGCACCACTGCACTCCAGACTGGGTAATAAGAGCGAAACTCCATCTCAAAAAAAAAAAAACAGGGATGGAGTGTCCTTGGCTGAAATGATCTTTCCACTTTAGCCTCCCAAGGTGCTGGGATTACAGGCGTGAGCCACCATACCAGGCTAATGAATACATTCTTATAAAATAACTTTCCTTTGTTTATAAAGTGTTTTGTAACATGGCTAGGAGTAGAGGAGGGGGTTACTTGATGAAGAAAAGGAAAGTATGGTATGTATATATGAACTTGACCACAGTTGGTGTTCACCAAGCCTGAGAAAGGTTAGGGGCTTCCTCAAAAGAGGCAGTAGGTTAATATGTGAGTAGCCAACTTTGATTCAAAATGGAAATAATGAAGGATATTTGGAATGGAATGTAATAAAGGCTGTTTTAATGTACCAACTCATTTCACACATTACACTAAATAGATATTAGTATTGAATTTACAAGAACAGCTCATTGTCAGCCCGGCATGGTGGCTCACACCTGTAATCCCAACACTTTGGGAGGCTGAGGCAGGTGGATTGCTTAAGTTCCGGATTGAGTTCCAGACCAGCCTGGGCCATGTGGTGAAACTCTGTCTCTACAAAAACACAAAAACTAGCCAGGCATGGTGGTGCATGCCTGTAGTCCCAGCCACTTGGGAGGCTGAGGTGGAAAGATCTTGACCATGGGAAGTTGAGGCTGTGGTGAAGCCAAGATCATGCCACTGCACTCCTGCCTGGGCGATGGAGTGAGATCCTGCCTGAAAAAAACAAAAACAGACCGGACGCGGTGGCTCACACCTGTAATTCCAGCACTTTGGGAGGCCGAGGCAGGCGGATCACGAGGTCAAGAGATTGAGATCATCCTGGCCAACATGGTGAAACCCCGTCTCTACTAAAAAATACAAAAATTAGCTGGGCGTGGTGGTGCACGCCTGTAGTCCCAGCTACTGGGGAGGCCGAGGCAGGAGAATTGCTTGAACCTGGGAGGCGGAGGTTGCAGTGAGATGAGATTGTGTCACTGTACTCCAGCCTGGTGCCTGGTGACAGAGCAAGACACTGTCTCAAAAACAAACAAACAAAAAAAAACCAGTAACTCATTACCAGATTGACTTATTAATCAGATATTTATTTAGTTCTTAAGTGCCAGAAATACATTGAGGAGCAAAACCCAAGGAGTCATATGGCTAATGGTTGCATAACTAAATTTAGTAGAAATTGTTGAACACTTGAACCTGGTGAATTTTATAGTATGTAAATTAACCTTAATAAACCTATTATTAAAAAACCCACCAATGGACTTTAGGGAGCTTATGCTCTGTTGGTAGAAACAGCCATTAAACAAACACAGATTGAATATATAATAAAACTTGTGGTGGGCCAGGCTCACAGTGGCTCACGCCTTTAATCCCAGCACTTTGGGAGGCCAAGGTTGGAGGATTCCTTGAACTTGGGATCCTTTGAGACCAGCCTGGGCAGCATAGGGAGACTCTATCTCTACAAAAAATTTAAAAAGCCGGGCATGGTGGCATGCTCCTGTAGTCCCAGCTACTCAGGAGGCTGAGGTGGGAGGATTGCTTGATCCCAGGAGTTTGAGGCTGCAGTGAGGTATGATCATGCCACTGCATTTCAGCCTGGGGTACAGAGTGAGACCCTGTCTCAAAAAACAAAACACAAACCTGTGATAAA